ATACATACAATCTTGAAACTAAATTTTTTTTCTACTTCTCTAGGGCAGAAAACTCTTTACAACAAAAAAATGTTTGGTCCCAAACAATTCCGTTATAGAGAGATTTTACTATATATGATTATTAATATTATAGTACTGTATAATAATGTAAATATTATTACAAAATAATCCAGCATAATATATTATATTTATATAACATAATTTTAAAAGAAACAAAAAAGATAATTTTTTCAGTATATATTATATTAGCATATGGCCTTGGCATACTAAATAAATAAATAAATAATAGTAATAATAACAATAATAAATAAGTAAATAATAAAAAAAGAAGTAGGTAACTAAAAACTAAGAATTTGGTATCTATTGAGTTAGGTTGTCTCATATAGTTTAAAGAGTAGTTGAAAACAAAACCTACTATGTTTGTCACAGATCAGGATCTTCTCGGACAACAGGTACAGGGAAGATAATGAAATGGTCACAAACCTACAAAATTGGTAAGATTTGTCCTGCTGGAATGATGACTACTAATATTGACGGTCACATAACAGTAGAATTTAGAAGAACCCGTGTAGGCCATGCATTAAATATGAAATTTTTACATCTGTCAAAAGAAGAAAGAGATGAACTGGCTGGTAAAATAAAATCAGGTGTGACTTGAACGGATTTTGGACGATATTCGAAAATCTGTAACTTCAACAGAAAATGTCAACCGTTTCCAAGCTGTGGACAAACGTGATTTACATAATATTATAAGGGATTATGACCGGGACAGAGACATTGTACACACAAATGACGCTTTTAGTACAGAAATATGGGTACAAAAACAAATGTTACTCAAAGAAAAGTCACCAGTAGCATATTTTAAAATGCAAGATGGTGAGAAAGAAGGTTCACTATTCAAAGACGATTTTATAATTGTAATAATGACACCATATCAAATAGATGTTTTGTCAAAATACGCAACTGACAGAATTTGCGTTGACAGCACCCATGAAACTACCAGTCATGACTTTCAGCTCATAACGTTACTCGTAATTGATGAATTTGGAGCTGGTTGCCCAATTGCGTTCTGTATAAGCAATCTGAAAAAAAAGATAGTGAAATAAATATTGATAAAAACAGAGCGACGTCAGAATTTGAAGAGCACAGTAATCATGTTGTCCAAGAATCTCAAATAACATCGGTAAATCAAAAATAATCGGTTTCCATTTCGACTCGCTTTACAGCTTTAATTAATGTAACAATAGGAATCGCCACCACTGCAACAGATGAAGCAAAATTAAAAGGCATTAAAAAGTTAGATGAATTAATAATGATTTTACAACATGGTCAGATAGATTCCACAGGTTCTTCTGGCCCTGTTTTTTCAAATTTAACTAACTACCCATGACTAATCATAAGGAAAATATTATACCCGATATTTCATGACGGCACGGTGTCCCTGTACAGACATCGCGGTGCATATTTTGGAAACCGATGGGTTATGATAATAATTATTATCTTAAAAACTAAATAAAAATATGTATAAATAAAATAATATTTCAATAATCTTAATTAATTTCAATTTCAATAGATTAAACCAAATTTAATCTTGCTAGGTTACATAGATTTTTATACTTAAACCCGGTAACGACGGGTAATTCAGCTAGTATTAATTATATAATTGTGGTCGTACCATACAACACGATGGTGTGACCAAAAGGTACCTATACTAACGAGTAATAGAATAAATATTTAAATTTTCATGTAATAATTATCTATCAAATTATCTGTTTCAATTTCGTAGTTTTATAAAGGAAAATCGTAAGAAAACTTATATTCTTTTTAATCATGATTTACAGAATGATCTACAATAATAGACTACTAACTTACTTTTTTATCTGAGATTTTAAACCAGGGACTGAGACCTTAATGGTTTTAACGGTTTAGGTAGGGGTTCGGGTTTTTAAAATATTTTTTGAAGGGTTTAGGTTAAATTTAGGGATTTTAAGTTTTAAAATTTAAGTTCCGGTTCCGACCGGTTTCTAATCTTTATTTTTGTACATTATTTTTTCAAACTAGAAATTTTAATACAAAAATATATATTGTATACTATTGTTTAGTATTTGCAGGCGTTGATTAAAGTATTCATATTAATGTTAATTTTAACCTCGGTAATAAAAAAATAAAAGAGTTTCTCATGTGCTTTGATAACAGATGTGTTAATCTGGGTAGATCTTTTTATTTCTGTATCTTTAACCAGCATCTCCTCATATATATATCATGGTGGGAATTCAGTTGCCTTTTCAAATTTGTTCCATGCTTTCCCTTTTAAAATTATAGGAACATATTTATAAATATTTATATAATATCTGATTACCTAGCTATATCAATTAGATTTTCAAAATATAAATATTTAAGGAATACAATATACAAACTAAATTAATCAAAATAAAAATTATTTAACTTTTCATAAGTAATCTGCTACAAAGCTACACGTACAGGTAGAGCAATTACTGGTAAAATCATAGGTACTATTTTTTATTTTGTAGATAATCACATAATATTCACATTGGGTATTCTTAACATACTAGCGAGTAGGACCTGAATAAATTACTTAAGACTGCACTATTATAGTTGATGGTATAGATAAACTATAAAGATAATGTCTTGTCTATTTACTTGAATACTACATAGTTACCTACCATTATATTACCATATTATTTTAATTCTTTTGTCAATGATTTTAAACTTAAATTAAAATTAAATGAAACAAAAATATGTAGCTACTTACTTTTATTTTTCCATTGCAACTTTTACAAACTGACTCGTTGGATTTCTTATCGTAAACAAAATATTTATAAGCGCATGACACGGTATGACGACCCATAATTTTAATTTGATACTTTTTAACTAATAAACGTAGACTGCGTATTCATGCATCGGCGACTGAATAACAAATATAGCAAATTCACCACTGAGCACCGATATTCGATAATAATTAATAACGATAATACGATATGCGTTTGTACTATGTTTACGTGTAGATATGTAATAAAAATAAACACTTTAACAACCCAGTGTCATTTTTGTAATTGTAAAAATAACTTATGTGTCCGCAGAAATGATCTGTTATCGACATTATCGTGTAACATATTCATAATATATATTAATATTTCTTAGAAAATAATATTATATTCATTGGTCGACGGCCGAATATAACAGCGTAAATACTGTATAATATATTATAATAAATTAATATATATATATATATATATTAATATAATATAAATTATTATATGTAATTATTGTTTCTAAATAATATATCTTTAGTTTAAAGAGTAATTTCTTTCGATTTCAATAGGAATTTGTAAACAGTAAAAAACCCTTAAGAAAACCGGTATCTTGGTATTGTTTATAGGTTTCGGTATTGGTTAGGGTATATTAAAAATATAAAATTCAGGTAACGGTTATCTTCAGTTCTTTAATTTACAATAGGTTTTAGATTCCGTAACCGGTTCTTTTCGGTCCGGTCTCAGTCCTTGTTTTAAATAGAATATTATTTCAAATCTCTGCACTTAGAGCCGTCCTAAGGATTTTTAGGGCCTGGAGAATATTAATTAGGAGACTCCTTAATCTTCACATTAAAAAAATACACACCAAGTTTGCAATATGTTAATAAATATAGTTTTTTGAACTTTGTTACTTTACCGGACACCCTTTTTTTTTCGAAAACCTAACTATTTTGACGTTTTAAAAATGATGGTGAAAAAAAAATTGGTGGAAAGCGTTAGTTTTTGAGTTATTCATTTTTGAAAAATAAGAATTTTCAACGATTGCATATATACGCTTAAATAGATAATATTCTAAACTCTAATTTTAGACTCATAGTCTAATGGTAAATGACTATAAACCTAAGCTTAAGGTACCTTATCTGGCTCTAATCTCTTATCGTAACTAACATTTTTTGAATCTATTTTCGAAAAATCGGAACTTTAGTTTTAAAAATTTTCGGACATCACTCATTACACCTGCTTAGGTGCCTGATTGAAACGATAAGTATTACTGTACTTTAAATTAACTGCATGTCGTCCATTATATTTAATTTTTTTGCTTCCAATAACTCTGCAATATTCTTTACTTTAAACATGACGTTTTTTTTAAAAACTATAGGGTACAAATAAAATCTAAATCTAAAATTTTTTTATACATTGCCATTACCGTAACGTAAATCAGCGAACGAAATAAATTATGTGAACGAATCGTACTAACTTTTTGAATCTAAATTATTTAGTTCACTAAATTGATTCGTTTAGATTGAACGAGTCGTTCACACGTACAACCCATCCCTAGTTCAGTATTATCACAGATTATATGAATAATATATATACAGTGAAACCTTTATTAATGGACACCTCTAAATAGTGGACCCTTCCCAATAGTGGACACTTCTAAATTCCCCGCAAAAATGTATGCGCATAATAGGAGTTATAACCTCTTAGTAGTGGACACTCCTAATAGTGGACGTGGACATAATAAACTGGTACCAAATTAAAAATTACCTCTCATAAATGGACACAATACATGTACATTTCGAAAAAGTTTAATAAAAATACTATATTTATCTGTTATATATTCGTTCATATTTTATCTTACCTTAATGATTTTCCTATTCGAAAAATTACTAATGGTTCGGTTATGTGTTCGGTCGTTAGTTGTGTGCAGCACATTGTGTGAACACGTACCTGCGTTAAAATGAATAATAATAAAAGAAAAAGATTGAACTTAGAAGAAAAATTAAATATTATTAAAACCAAAGAAACAGAAAATCTAAGTGTTCGTGTTTTAGCAGAACTATTTTGCATAAGCAAGTCACAGGTAAATTTAAATATTTAATTTAAATACATACATATTTTGTTTTAATTTATCTAAAAATCATTTAATGAAAAATACAGGTGAATAACATTTTACAAGATGCGTGTAATTTGAAAAAATATTACGCTGAGAACGGCAATGAAGATATGAGGAGAAAATTTTCGAAGACATCGGATGGAGCACTTGTAGATAAAGTTACATTTGAATGGTTCTGTAGAGCCCGTTCATATAATTTACCTGTTTCTGGACCATTGCTCCAAGAGAAAGCACTAGAAGTTGTAAATGAGGTAGGTTTAGAAAATTTTAAAGCTTCAAATGGTTGGCTTGAAAAATTCCGAGAACGTCATAACATTTCTTTTAAAAATATATGTGGTGAAGGTAACTCTGTTGATACAAGTGTCGTAGAAAAGTGGTTAGAAAAATTGAAAACATTAATTTCAGATTATGAACCAAAAAATATATTCAATTGTGATGAAACAGGTTTATTTTTTCGAGCACTTCCTGATAAAACATTGTGTTTAAAAAACGAAATTTGTCGTGGAGGTAAAATAGCTAAAGATCGATTAACTGTTTTACTATGTGTAAATATGATCGGGGAATTTGAAACTCCGTTAATAATTGGAAAATCACTAAAACCACGTTTTTTCAAAAGTGTAAATGTATCAACGTTAGGTGTTAATTGGAAAGCTAACCGTAAGGCATGGATGAATCGAGATTTAATGACAGATTGGCTAATGTGTTTTAACAGAAAAATGGAGATGGAAAATAGAAAAATTATTTTATTTCTAGATAACGCTAGCTCACATCCTGATACATTAAACTTAAAAAATATAAAACTTATATTCCTACCTCCAAATACGACTTCGATTTGCCAACCACTAGATCAAGGAATTATTAAAAATTTTAAAGTTCATTATCGCCAACGATTATTTCGTCATATTTTATCTAGAGTTGATCAGAATGTAGAAAACAAATCTATAAACGTTTTAGATGCAATTTTTTGGATAAAGTCCGCATTAAAAAATATAAAACCAGAGACAGTCAAAAATTGTTTTAAAAAGTAGGGATTTTTTTCGTTCGATACAGCAGAATATGTATTGGAAAATGACAATGTTGCAAATTTGGACTTATTCTCAGAACTTGTACCGAGTACTATCGAAATTGAGGACTATGTTTCTATAGATAATAATATCCTTACAGAAGACAATACATTAATCATATCAGATATAATCAATTGTAATCTAGACAATTTTAGTGAAAAAGAAACCGAACAACTCGAAGAACAAGAAGAAGAAGATGAAGACGATTCGATATACAATCCAACGTTTGAAGAAGTTTGAAAAACAATAAATAATTTAAAAACATATTTTAAAAATAAAGAAGATGAAATCGCATTAACAATGGTAGCCAATTTACAAATTCATTTTGAAGAGCAGAAAAAATTACAAAAAAAATTACAGATTTTTTTAATTTTACATAATCATTAAACATTTTTATAAGCATTTTTATACTACATAATTTTTTAATACATACATACATACATTAAATATACATACATAAACATACATATTTACAGTGGCGTATTTAGGGAGGGGCCCATAGGGGCCCGGGCCCCCCCCCTTGGCCCGTGTAGTACATATTATAATAGTATAACACAATACTACTCAGTAATCGACACTCGTATTATACTTTAATACTTTATAATGTATGATTAAATAATGATTTGATATGAAAACCAAAATAAAAATAGTAAATTGTTAATTCGCATTATTTTGCAATACCCAGTAAAATATAAATAGCAAAAGATAAAATCGATAATGGATTATCGTATCTAGATTCTAGACTAGACTGTTTCTCTGGAACCGTTCGATACCGCACACGCGTTGCTCAGTTTCAGTTGCTGTTTAATTGCCGATAAAACACAATATAGTGTGATCCTAGTCTAATCGTGTAGTTGTGAATAACGTATTCTTTTACTTGTCAATGCATTGTTTATAAGTTATAACTTAACTATCTACTTGTGTATATATTTTAATATTTGTATAAATTGACAACCGAATTTAAAAATAATATGCAACAAAATAAAAGAACATCGAAGATAACTAATTTTTTTAACTCAACACAAAAAAAAATTATAACAGAATCTAACGACGTCGTGGATGACGGACAGCAGCAGTCACAGTCTGACTCACAGAGACTAATTTCAACGGAAATCAAGAAGGTATTATATTATAAAATAAATAAGCAAGACTGTAGGTATATACGCTATACGTATTGTCGCAATGATACTATTGTGTAGTATTTGAGTAATATGACGTTTAGTTTTTCAAATATTAAAAATCTTAATGTCTCAGAGATTGCGCTAAAGAAATATTAGAGCTGCACATACTTTTTGTTTTACAGAAGTAAAAAAATTTGATCATTATCATATTATAATCATAATATTAATTATGGAATAGCATGGACATAGCAGTTTTAACAAAAATAAAATAATACAAATTATTGTTTTTATTTTAAAAAGTTTAATAATATGACACCACTCATGTATAGAATTATAATAATTATTAAAACACAGTTTTCATCAAATATAAATTTTAAAACTTATAGAAAACCTTGTATTAAATTTTCAATTCTTAGCTATGAATACTAAAAATGTAGGTTTAATTAGTATTGTAATATGTAATACGCTTTTGTTATTATTATTTTAGAAATCAGGGCATTTGTATGATATTGCCAATTTTGTGGTCAAACACACTTTACAGTCTTCTGAAATATTTAATTGTTTGAAATTGACTTGGATACCCGACCCAAAGTATGATTTTCCTATACATGCAGAAGGCAAACATAGCAGAAAATTTCAATATAAGTATTTAGAAATATTTCCATGGTTAGCTTATAGTGAGATTAATAAAGGAGCCTATTGCAAATGGTGTGTTGTATTTGCTTTTTCAGGCGGTGGATCAGGCAACCAGGTATATTACACAGAAAAAAATAACTATTTCCCTTGATTATTTATAAATATAATAATTTTATAATTATTTCTTGTAGTCGTTAAATAATCTAGTAAGAGAGCCGATGACCAAGTATAAGAATGCAATGGCTGATTTAAATGAACATTCTAAAACCAATTATCATATGATCTCTAGTCAAAGGGCAAAAGACTTCTTAAAAAACTATGAAAATGGAGACCAAACAGCGGTAAACGTACTTCTCAGCAATCAAAAAAGCACTGCGAAGATCTTTTTTCGAACATTAAAACACTTTTACAGTTGTTCTCCACACTACCAGTTACTTCTGCCACTCCAGAACGCACGTTTTCTACTCTTAAAAGAATAAAAACTTACCTGAGATCAACAATATCCCAAGAAAGGCTAAATGGTTTGGCTTTAACAAACATTAATAAGGAAGTAAATGTAACTATGGAGGAAATAGCACAAGATTTCATAAAAATCTCCACCAGGAGAATGCAATTACAAGACTGGTCAAAATAATAAACATTACTTAAATTGTACATGCTTTAATATAAGTACTTCAATTGTCTTAATCTTAATTAAATATAAAATATAATATACTAAAACGTATGATTTTGGCGTTATATTTGGTGGGCCCCTCCCTTGAGAGATTTCTGGCTACGCCACTGCATATTTATATTATAATATAGATACATAATAAATAATAAATTAATATTCCAATGTATATGTTCATATACAGTGAACATATAACCTGCAATTTCCTATAGTGTCTAGTAATTTTTTGCAAATGTCCACTAAGTAGAGGTTTTCTCAATAGTGGACAACTCTCTATAATGGACAATTTTTAATTCCCCGTGGCTGTCCACTATACAGAGGTTTCACTGTATATATTATATTATATATTAATTATATAAATATAATTTATATTATTTATGTTAATAAATAATAATAATTAATAATATTAATAATATTTATTATTACTTATAGTATTTATATTATATTAATTATATTAATTATATTATACATATATTATATGAATATTATATTATTTTAATATAATAGATTCATATAATCTGTGGTATTATTGTTTCGTGGTGGTAGTACAGAATAATATCCACAGATAAAATAATACAAAATTTTATTTAATCTGTGATAATCACAGATATGTATAATAAACATTATTATACATATCTGTGGTGATAATATAGTCCGCATTTCACTGTTATCAACTTGTAAAATATTATTTTGATAAGAACACACACGTGGGCTTGTAATTTGTATCATGTTATCACAGCTGTCGGTTGTATAGAGTTGAGTTAATAATTATATTGTTTTGTGAGCAAATCGATATTAATTATTCTGTTAACGATTAAGTGCAATTTATTTTACGTTTTCAGTTACCTACAATATAATTAAGTTATTATAATTATTAGTATTTTAAAAAAAAAATTTAAACCAAAATGACCATTTTATGTTCAACAAAATGTGGGCGGAATGCTGTTCTTAAGGTATAACTAATGAATAATTTGGTTTAAATTATTAAATAATAATTTTTTCATCAACAGTAACTCGGCCATTGTTGAAATAACTGTTTAGAATTGTTAAGATAATATTTATAGGTTGTATACTCAGGCGCAATTTCAATGAAAAAACTGGGGGTGCTGAAGCCCATCTATTTCGTGTTCTTAATGGTTATATACATCTGCAACCCGTAAAGTTCAACAGTTACTAAAATATTTGAATATTTCTAAATTTAAATTGTTCACTTTGATTTTATATTTTTATTGTGCATATAACAAATTACCCGTCTGTAAACACAAATTTTTCATCACATGATCACTTTTAGATTCTAAGTAAAGCGAAGAATATTATGGTTTTATAATGATGTTCGAATTTTATTTTTTTAACACGAAAAGCTTAGAAATACTGGTCCAAAAGTTTTTTCTAGGAACTTTTTGAATCTTAATAATTTTATTAGGCATGAGAAATAAACTTTCCTAAAACGGTAAAAATATGCTGTAAATTAGATTTTCACTTTTCAAATTTCAGTTATTTAGTCATAATTCCAAAAGTAATGTGGTTAGAAACTTGAAATTTTTACTCTGTAACAAAAATATTTTTTTCGTATTTGATAACATTTTCAAAAAGTGATTTTGATTTAAATATAGAACTTTAAAAATACCTAATTTTTTGAAAGTATTTATGTAATGAAAATTTTGTTTTTGGATATTAAGTGAAAATTAATATCACCATACTTATTTATGAATACTTATTTACCGATTCTGTACATTTTTTAAAAATCGTTAGTTTGAAATTTATTTCATAAGTGTTTAAGTCAATTATTATACCTACAATTTTTACATCAATTTTTAACATTAAATGTTTATTTAAAAAATTTGGTCCATTTAATCATAATAAAACTTTGAATACAGATAAATATTTGGTAAAAAAAAAAAAAAATTTCTTCGTCAACAATAAAATTATTGAAATGGTTGATAAAAAAAAGAATCTACCGATAATTAGACTAAAAATGGTAAAATATACATATAAATGGTTGATTTTTATATTGGACCTTTGCTCAGAACTGTTTTGTTAAAGAGATGACTTTTTTCTTTAAAACTCAGTATATTTTCTACTAGGCTTGCCACTTTCAAACCATCATATTGAATGACTCTTTTTATTTTGATATGAAACAAAATAAATATATCATTTTGTAATTGAAATATTTATTGGCTAATTTAAAAATACATTATTTTTGTATATAACCATACTGATTAGATTACCATAATATAATAATATAATCTACAATATTATAATATGTTTTATTATTAAATATTAATTATTAATTAAATTATTATTAAATAATATAATATTAAATTTTATTTTCTCTTAGCTTCTCAACTTCTATTAACCGGGAAAAACTGAATGATTGGCCGGGACACCGAGATTAGTGACTAACCTAGTAGAAATATCCTGAGTTTTAAAGAAATTATTAGTCTTTTCTTTATCAAAACAGTTCTAAGCAAAGGTTCAGTATAAAAATCAACCTTTTATAAGTATACTTTACCATTTTTAGTCTAATTATCGATAGGTTTTTTTTTCTTTACGAAGACATTTTTTTTTTCAACTAAATATTTAACTGTATTCAAAGTTTTATTATGATTGGATAGACCAAATTTTTTTAATAAACATTTCATGTTAAAAATTGATGTAAAAATCTTATGTAAAATAATTGATTTAAACGCTTATGAAATAAATTTCACACTAATGATTTTTAAAAAATTTACAGTATCAGTATAACACTGATGTGTTGCCGACTAAGTCCAAATGTGTTGCGTGTAGTAATATTAAATAACACAAAATGTACATTATTGACACTATTTAAAAAAATTAATAGGTATTTGATATAATTTCTATGATGAATAAAAATAGATTATCAGATATCGATATTAAATAAATTTTATCAGTATCGTAATTCTAATTGATAAATGTTGGTTTATCGATATTTATTTATAAAAAGTGTTTACTATATAGTATATTTATATTTTACATTATCAATTAATTATAAATATTTAATATTACCCATTCTTATTTTTATTATTATATGTCACAGAGTATGAAATATTTTAATAATGTGTCGCCATAATACTAAGGACGAGGAACATAGATTTAATGTATAAGATTTATGATATTTGTAATTTGCAACTATGTATAAGATATAAAAAATAGGTAAATATTTTTCAAACGGTATTTATTTAAAAAAAATTGCAATATTTATTATATATTAGATGTAAATAATTGGGTATAAAATTTATATTTATTATAGTTTAATGTTGGTAATAAAATTGCTAGCGATATAAATAAAATAAATAGTCTTTAAAAATGTTTAATGTGTGTAATAGCTATTACCAATGCACATAAAGATATGGAAGAATTATATAAATAACAACTTATAATGTATTGTATCTGTATATCTATATTATATATCTTTGTTTAAGTTCATCTAGATAGATTTCATACTTTAGGAATCCATGAATTTATTTATTATTATAATATTTAAACAATGTTATTTAAAATTATATTTATTTGTAAATATTTTAACTTTTTTTTATAATAATAATTTATTATATTGAATTAAATATTATTATTAAAGTTTTAACTGTTTATTATGTATTTTATTATAGCGCCCAAAAACTGGTGATACATTATGTAAAGAATGTTTTTTTTGGGCATTTGAACTTGAAATACACAGCACAATTATCAATGGTAAATTGTTTAAAAAAGGTGATGTTATAGCAATTGCTGCTTCTGGAGGTAAAGATTCAACAGTTTTAGCTCAAGTTCTTAAGACTTTGAATGAACGTTATAATTATGGATTAAAATTAGTATTACTATCTATAGATGAAGGCATTACTGGTAATATAATATCTTGTGAACATTTTTTTGTAATTATAAGTTTATATTAATGTTTACTTAAAAAATATTTTTGATACCATTAATTTATAAAGTAGATAAGTTAAATACTTATTTCTGTTGTTTAGAATATGCTATTACTAAATTAATACTTTTAATAATTTGTTTGTAATTCACATTATATTTATTTTGAATTTATTTAACCATATTTAAATTTTTTGTGTATTTAATAGGTTATAGAGATGATAGTTTAAAAACAGTATTAGAAAATAAAGATGAATATCAAATGCCATTGAAAATATTATCATATCAACAGTTATATGGGTGGTCAATGGATAAAATAGTTGCTGAAGTTGGACGTAAAAATAATTGTACATTTTGTGGTGTATTCAGAAGACAAGCTTTGGATAGAGGTGCAATGTTGTTAAATGTTGATTGTATTGCTACTGGTCATAATGCTGATGATATAGCTGAAACTGTTTTGATGAATATTTTGCGTGGTGATGTGGCTAGATTGCAAAGATGTGTTAATATTATAACCGTAAGTATTAAAATAGTTGAAATTGAATAAAAAACTCAACCAACTGCAATTTTTTGTATATTTTATTTTGCAATATATATTTGAAACCTTTAAATTTCCTCAATACTGTGGTGTCCTCCAGCTATCTAGAATAATTTATTTTTTATAAGATGAATACATTTTGCTTTCTTAGTTCAGTTTGAATTAAAATACTTATGTTAAATGAACAATGTGTCAATATAAAGAAATAGGTGTTTCTATAAGTGTACCATAATATACTAAAGGGTTGCTAACCTTAACAGACAAGTGTCTTTACTTCTATTATAAACCATACTCTATTGAAATTAAGAAACATAGTAGACTACTTATCCTCAGGACTGAGCTTCAATACCAGCCATAAACATAATCATGATAATTTAGGTGTGATTCATAACTTGAAAAGAGTATAATATATATTATATTGTAATTTATGTGTTCATAATTAAAATTTTTTACTGTGATGTATTTTTAAGACTACAGAAGGTGCTATTCCTCGTTGTAAACCTTTGAAATACACTTATGAAAAAGAAATAGTGATGTATGCATACTTCAAGAAATTAAATTATTTTTCAACTGAATGTATTTTTGCGCCAAATGCTTATAGAGGACACGCAAGAACTTTTTTGAAAGACTTAGAAAGATTAAAACCATCATCTATTATGGATATAATACATTCTGGTATTGAATAATTGTACATGTTTTCTTATGCTTATTAATTATAAATTTTATATAGGTGAGACAATGTGTATTAAAGAAAATGTAAAAATGCCTGAAAGAGGTGTTTGTACTAAATGTGGATTTGTGTCAAGTCAAGATATTTGTAAAGCATGTATGTTACTAGAAGGATTAAATCGAGGACTTCCTAAACTTGGGATAGGTAAAAGTAGTAAAGCTAATAAAGCATTGGCATCATTATCCAATCCCAAATCACTGAATTTTTAATGTAATGAATTAAAAATTGTACAGCATTATAATAGATTATATGGAATAATTCATTTTTATATTGTAAAGTATAATTTACCTATGTATATTTTGAACTAAATTTATTAAATATTTGTGAATATTTTATGTTAAATTTAGGTTTATTGATATTATAATTGATATGAAGAAATATTAAATTGTTTGTGAGGTATATTGTTCATATATAATTTTTACATCTGTATAAAATAAATAAAAAAAGAATTAAAATATATGATTCTGAAGATAGCATAATATTCATTCATTTTATAAGGAAAATTTTTAAATATACTTACGAATAATGCGTGCTTTATATTCTATACTTTAGATTGAATATTGGTCCAGAAAGTCAATATTTCAGATCTCATCACTCATTATATTAATAATAAACGAAACATATAGTAATTAACTATTTTGGAGACCACCAATTTTTGATTGTTTAAAAATATTGTATAGTAAACAATTTATTGACACTTGAGAAATAAACTAAGATATTATTTAATTAATAAATGTTACTATATATTGATATTTTACGAACAAAATTAGCAATTATCAAATTAAGAATTCATTAACTTAAAACTTAAATCAAATTAAGAGATCAGAAAAATATCAAAACATAATTTTATTATATATATATATATATATATATATATATATATGTATTTTTTTATTTTTTATTTTATTAAATAGCTTACTTTTTGTACATCTATCATTCATTTGATTGGCTTTAAGATGATGTTATAGGAACAAAACATCAAACTGTTAGTCCATGCATTTAACCTTAATCATAGCTTAATATACCTAATAGCCAACAATAATAATAAAATAAAAACATTGATCATTTTGTCCCTAAGATAAATCACAAGAGGAAAAGTAACTTAATTTAATACTTTCCCGGTCTATAATAATAACTATGTATTACATTGATAAAAGTGAGGTTGTTTGGTTTTAACAGGGCCATAAGAGTCTATCAACATTTATTGAATATTTTAGAACCATCTGAAAGAATGTTCAATGCTTAATTAATGAATTAAAAAAAAAAAAATTATACAAAAATAATAATAATAATTAAAAATAAGCTTAATTCTATTGATGAAATATGTATAATTGTTTTGAAAGACTCTTATGAAATACAATTTTGAAAATGTTGGTTGGTAAATTTTGTTACAAATGAAAATTATTAAATTGTATTATTGGTACATAACCGTATAAAAATAGTAGTTAAATGATTTGTTCTAAAGTGAATAATTTTTTTAAGTACCAAGTGGAGAATTAATTTGTAGTACTTGCTATATATTTTTTCAATAAGAGAAAAAATATTATAATTACAATAATGTAAGTTTTACATTTGTTTTAATTATATGGAAAAGGGAATAATTTGTTTATAAAAAAAAGGGTCATTCAAAAATTATTTAATATACACAAATAGATTTAAAACTTAATAGAAATGGTAAATTTTATATAAATTCATACAATTTTATTGTTAAAAAAATATATTGATCTATATTATTTATATGAATTATATTAAAAATTGTATTTACTTGAATATAACATGGTTAATCATGTGTTTATATACATATTTTTAATGAAGAAGGAAAAACTAATTCCAAGACATAAGGAATGGAAAATTATACATTTACATAATTTTTGAATGACACCAAATAAAGTTAACTTTTTGGCATCACAGATTTAATAACAAATTTGACAAAAAACCTGAAGTACAAAAAGTGCAATACAGAAAAAACTAATATTAAACTATGAGAAATTTAACTGTCACTAATAATAATTCTATTTGCACGAGTTTTAAATTTGAAACATAAAAAAGTATTGAAAAAAAAAAGAAAACATGACATTTTCAAGGAATAATGTATATGGGACATAAACCCTAGTATTTCTTGATTTAAGAACAAATAATTTAGAAAAAATGTATAAAGCAGTTTGTTAAAATGTACATCATTGGTTAATATGTACTATACATAAAAACAAAGACTATATTAATGTTCTTTTTCAATATTTAAAAAAAATTAGTATACTCCAAATTTCTTTTCTCCAAATGTTCACATAATATCACAAGTTTTAAGGTTATAAATAATCCTTATTTATCCACGGATTATATTCTATACAATTTTTTTTTTTTTAGTGTAGGACTATGTGAAAAAAAACAATTTTTAATTTAATTCTCTGTCTTCCAGATATTTATATTCGAATGTAAAACCTTCTTTTTTCCGTTGACCCCACTTCTCATAATCAAAATAAATGTATGTGCCCTAATTAAATAATAAAATTATACATGTAATTTACAATCTTAAGTTATATAAAAAAAAAAAAAATTATCAAACCTGTTCATATTCTTCATTTATTAATTTGGGTTCTTCGTGTCTCTGAAACCACATCATATATTTTGTATGGAATCTCCAACTTTGTTTCTTCAATGCCTTAGCCGCTAAATATTGGGCTTTAGACCCCTCCATATAATAGAATATAAAGAAAAGAGTTTCTGTTGAAAGCCTCTGGAAAAATTCTAAACTATCGGAATGAGGAAGAGGTCCCTAAAAACACATTATTTGTATTAATAAACGCATAATATGAAGTATTAAATGTAAATAGTAGATACATTAATTACTTGATTATAATAATGAGGTGTTGAACATGGATTTCGAGGTAAATATAATTTTATTCGTTCTGAATCTGATGGATGAGGTAAATGAAGAAATGCTGATTCAAGCATTGTAAATTGAAATTGATGGTCTTTAGAAAGTGGAACTGGACCCAATGGAGCCACTCCTAATAAAGGAGAAATATTAGCTTCAAATGAAACTGGTGGCTGTTGTGGTTGTTGCTGTTGTTGCATGCTTAGGTGATTACTTGAATTTTGTATTACACTTGAATTCATACCTTTAAAATACAAAATAAAACATAATTAATATATAGAATTACATACATGATGAAAGACATATGGTATTATGGATATATTGGTTTGCAAACGATTGATTAATAATGAATTCATTTAGATTAAAATTAGTCTCTCAATAAAAAACAATAATGTAATTTATTAATAATTTTAAATAATCTAAACACTGGTTAAATCCAAGATGTGTATTGACTTTGTATACTGAATATACTAAGGAAGTATATGTTAATATATATTTAAAATAAAAAATAAAATAAAATTATTAGTAAATGGTTAATACTTGTAAATTAATTCATAAATAAAAACACTAAGAATTTCACAAAAAATCCCTTCTTTTAAAAAATGCAGGTATATATTAATTAAAGTTTAATTGTAAGAAATTGTATATTAGTAAAACAAATAGAAATTTTAAAATTAGATATAAAGAACACATTTCTAAAATTAAATTAAAAAATACTTTGCTTAATTCAAACTTCACAAAATATGTGTTAAAAAATAATCATAAGATATATTTTGATAATAATACAGACTTAGAAATATTAAAAACCTAAAATAACATTTACAATAATTCATTATAGAAAAGTACACAAACACAATGAAATAAAGAAAAATATTTTTAATACAATTTTAAATGTACAAACCGATTTTAAAAACAATATCTTATATCAATACTTTTAAAAAATAATAAATAATAATAACCTAAGTGTTTATATATTTTGACATATGTCTAATAAGAATTCATTATAAATAATCTCTTTCCTAGATCCAGCTCATATGAACAATTTGTTGGAGCAATTAAATTTGTGGCAAAAAAACATATTCCCAGAGGCTTTAGAAAACAATACATACCAAGATGGAATAATTCATGCACAAAGTTATTTGAAGATTTCCAGTAAAATAATGATGATGAAATAGTAGACAAGTTCATCTATAGGTTGAATGCAATAAGGAAGCAAAGATGGAGTGAAACTTCATTAAAAAACTAGGTGTTCATAGTTATGGTAAGGAGAAACAAGAAAATTGAAGACCTAATGAAGTGGCATCAAGACTTATTGAGATGGGGAAAATCCAAATTTATAAAGATTATAGCAGGACCATAAAAGCAGAACTAAAACGTCAAAAGAAACTCTTACAAGAAGAAGATATAGTCGGTGCACCTTTTACAATAAATGAGATTGATATTGCTTTGAGTAAAATCAAAATAAATAAAGCAGCTGGATTTGATAGGATTTATCCCAAATTCATCAAATATTCTGGACTCAGGACTCGTGAGTGGCTTTCCCGGTTCTATAGTGATATTTTAGCTACATCAAATATACCGAAACAGTTTAAAAGGGCCAAAGTAATAGCCATAGTAAGCACTCTTAGAACTGGGAAAATCTGGAGAAGAGGCTCCAGATTATCACCTAATCGCATTGCTTAGCATCCCATATAAGATCTTAGAAAGACTCACACAGGAGCGAATGCAGTCTTGTATTGAAGAGGTCATCCCAGTAGAACAAGGAGGCTTTAGACACAATAGAGACTGTGAAGAACAAGTACTTGCCATAACTACTTTAATAAAAAATGGCTTACAGAAGAAACTAAATCCAGTGTAGTTTTAATTGACCTATTAGCCGCGTACAATATGGTCTGGAGACACGGTTTACTGTATAAATTTAGTAAGGTCATAAAATGCTGAAAATTAGTAATGCTTTTAGAAAAAATCCTAGTAAATCGACGTTTTCAAGTATATTTAGGCAAAAAAGGGAACATATAGAGGATGGTGAGTAATGGGCTTCCCTAGGGCTTTCTCGGTACTAGCTCCTACTTAGTTTAATTTATATAACATGACATACCAAATATGGAAGGGGTTAAGTTCCAATTTGCGGAACACATAGGTATCACGAAAAGACCTTGAAAAGATGGTAGTGTATCTTTAATCAATGACCTAGAGGTAATGAACATATATTTTTGCAAATAGTATTTAAAGCTGAATCCAGCGAAAACTGAAGTGTGTGCATTCCACCCCAACAATAAACAGGCTAAGGATAAACTTGAAGTAGAATTTGATGAAATATGAGTGATCAATAATTAGTATAGTACAGCAGAGTTCGGGTCCTAAATTTGGTGCAATAGTGTGTACTTTAATAATGTAGATACGCAATTGAACAATGTTACGAGAACAATCAGTGGAACTGTAAAATCTACACCACTTCAATGGTTACCAGTACTGGCAAACATTAGACCTCCAAACATACGAAAAAAATAAGCGCTTATAAAACCTGCTGTGAAAGCTGAAGACCTAAAACGTTCACTCCTGTATCAGATGCTACTCAAAATTCCGGAAAAAAGATTAAAAGCTAAGAGTCCACCTGGTGAGACTGCCAGGAAACTGATCAATTCAAGATACAATAGTGCTAACTTCTCTGTACCAAATCAGAATCTAGAACCTGACCCTAATGAAAAAGTCTTAGGGATAAATCTCCCTCGTAGTACCTGGTCTATATTAAACAGACTTTAAACAGGTCAAGGCCGATGCGGTGCTTTTCTACACAAATGGGGATTCCAAGACAACCCAGTATGCGACTGTGGCAATGGAGATCAAACCATGAATTAAATCGTGATTGGAGGGCCAAGAAAGAAAATTCAACCAAGGATTCGAAGGTATACATATGGTAACTCCAGAAGCAATAAATTGTTTTATTAATCTCAACATATGCTATGAAGATCTTAAAGACTCTTATATCCTATATTTGCGATTTTCTTACTTCCTTTACAATTAATTATGATTCTCTTCGCGTTAAACCACTATATTATATTTTATGTGCCAGTTATTGATACTATTATTTTGTAATTTTATGATTTGTTATATTTTTTGAAAAGTTGATTTGTGTAAAGTTATATGAAATAAATAAAAAATAATTTTAATACAATTACTTTTAGTTTCAGTAGACTGTTGTGATATATCAATTCCAGCTTGATCAATTGCTTTTTGTGCCATAGTCTTGAGTGATGATAGAGCTGTGTGAGAATCAACTAGTACAGGTGAAGTTGTAGAACTTATTGATGAAGGTGTAGTAGAAACACAATTAACAACACTGTCAGAATTAATAACATTTACTTGTGTGGTTGAAACATTGGTTGTATGACAAGATGATGGAGAAGTTGTAATTGAGGTAACAACCGATGTACTTTCAACAGATTGTGCTTCTGTAAAAAAAAAAATACAATTTTATGTTTAATTAGTTGAACTCAGATTTTAATTGCAAAGTGCATATTTTTTTGGTTGATCAAACACAATGCTCTCTAAGAACATAATCCGTTTCATGTAATGAGGGTTTCAGAACTACAAATTTTATTATGCATTTTTTTTTTTTTTTTGTATATTTCGACGTTTTTTCAGTTTTAGAGCATTTTTAGTATTATTGGGTCATTTTGTTGGTTTTTAATGCATATTTGTTCGATATATTAAATAAATTTATCCTATTCAAATATAATATTCAAATAATATAAGTAGGTTTACCGGGTTTTTCCATACACATTGTCAATCTTTATTTTTTGATTCAGTTTTTATCTTATCTTAATTTATTATTGACTATGGACCGTCACCAATATTCGATCAAATAACAAATAATCAGCTAGTTCATATTACTTTGCAGATGTTGCTCATATTACGTGTGAATGTGATTTTAATGTATTAAATAGTGTGTTAAATAATGCCCAAAATAAAAAAAAATATGTCATTTTTAAGGTCATTTTTGGCTATTTTTTAGAGCATATTTGTATGGTTTTAAGTTCATTTAAATCCGGGCCCTATTAATTAGCAATTAAGCTAAAGACATAAATCAAATAAATATATTACATATATTGTTTATAACAAATTTTATTTTAAAATAAATTCATATTCATTAAATTTTTCTGTATACAAAATCTTAGAAAATCAGACAGATTACACATACCTCTACTAAAAAAAATTCTCTGAAAATCTTAAATTATTATTACAAATTTATTTATTGTTGGTGTACTAAAAACGATTTCTTTAAAGAAAATGAATGTACACCATCAAACTGTATAAAACATTATTATAGGAGATCAAAATCTTTGGTTTTTTTAGTCCATTTTATTTGTCAATTAGAAGACATATTTACTTACTACTTCTACTAACCATTGAATTAAATTTAATTTACAATTATTTTTTCAAAGTTTTTAAAAAATACAAGTAATAAAATACATTTGATTTTCATAATTTTTTAAAATTTATAATTTATAGGTGAAAAAAATACAGCCTTCAAATTCTTAAAAATTCTCTATCATGATTCCTAATTTAAATTTATTTCCTTAATTACCTACAAATAGGACATTAAATTCTTAATTATTAAATACTTTCATTATTGTTTCACAGTTCTTTTAGCAAATATTGTATTTGTACTTGTATAATAACTATAAATGTTGAACAGTGTTCATTTATTTATTAGTAAATAAAAAAATAAAAATATATTAAAAATTATAAAATGCTTCTTATAGTATAATTCATAATATTATTAAAATTTTAATACTTCTTTAATAATTTAAATATGAAAAGAACTAATAACTAAATAACTAAGTAATACAATCTGTCTATTATTATTATTATTATTACTATTAGTTACATTTTTTTATATTAAAATATTTTAAAAACTTACGTGTATGTTTATTATGAAGATTTGAAGCTGCTACAGTTGCGAAATTACCTACTGTAGTCGTACTAGTTTGAGTAGTTATAGACTGAGCTACAGTAGACACACTAGATGTTGTAGTGGTATGATTATTAACTGATGATTTAACAACAGCAGCTATTGTAGGACCTTTACTGTTAACAGTAGTATTAGCACTACTTGATGAAGTTGCTTTAATGGGCATTGGTTTGATTGTATTCTAGAATAAAAATGTAGTCGAATTTGGTATAAATTATTACTGTAGATTAATATTTTATTGTTTAAACTAACTTTAGTAGTTTCCTCTTTTTTTTTTCTTACTGGTGCTGCTACAATAGAAGCAGCAGTAGTAGTAGTTACAACTGTAGATACTGTAGAGATCGTTAAAATTGATTCACTTATTGAAGTGACAGTAGTTGTTGACACTGGTGTGGATGTTGTAATTATAGCTACAGTAATAGGCTCTTCGATGGAATGATTTTGCGTCATTGGAGCAGGAGATGCTGGGCATGAACCAGTTACACTTGCAGTCTGGCTAGTAGGTGTTCCTAAAAAAATATAATTGGATAATAAATATAAAGAAATTTTGAATCCAGATTACACACAATAAAACAACATAGTGCAATTCTACATTCAATAAAATAGGTTTTATAAATAATAAAATTAAAAATATCATAAATTAATATTACCATTAGCTTCAGCCGAATTGTTTGCAGCCACCCCTAATTCAAGTTCAGCTAACCCTATAATATCATCATACAAGTCATCGTTATGCATAAAATCTTCTTCATGTGATGCTTCAATATAATATTCTACATCATCTTTTATCGTTCGAATCTATGAATAAACTCATTAAAAACAAATAAATAATACTCATTATAGTTAATAATACCTTTTTTACTTCCACTGACATATTATCTAACATTCTTAAAACAGTCTCTAATTTTCGTATATGAAACCTATGTCGTTCCACTCTTGCTTTTAATTCATCTAATTTTTCTTGCTTATCTTTGTCCAATCTTTTTTTTTTTCCAACAAGTAATGACTCCATTTCACATTCATATTGATCAATCTGTAAATGTGATTTTATTCTTTTATATAATTTACAGAAAAACAAAGTTAACCTTAATTTTTTTAATAAAAGTTTAGAACTTACAATATGTCTTTATAGAATCATTAATTGAATACTAATTAGTTATTAATGAATTATTTATTGCACAAAAGTATTTATAGATATGAAAAATATTTTTTTTAATTAATTACTTGAATATTGAGCGACTCAATTGATTGTGTTAACCATGCACTTATTTCTTCTCTCTCTTTTTGAGCGGGATCTAGTTTTTGGGCAGCACCCAACCCTTCCTTAGAATAAGCTTTAGTCTTTGTTTCTCGTTCGACTACTTTAAACCTTTCCATTTGCTATCAATAAAAATGATTAATGAAATAAGATTAAGTTATAATATAAAACATTTTATAAATGAAAAATATTTTAAATAAAATATACTGACTGTTTCTATAAGTTTGCGATAATCAAGTAATGCACTTTTATCCTTAATTTCGGCGGACGCAATCCAGCTTTTGATTTGATCCCGTAACCTTTGCAATTTCTTAATTTCCTTTTTGAGGTCAGCCTCATACTTTTCTTTTTGATTACTATTTGTGGCATTATGAACTTTTTGCCAAATATCCTCAAAAGTTTCTACACCTTCGGTAACTTTCTTAAGGCACCGATCAATTTCACCTAAAATTTATATAAAATCAAGATATTCAATTAATGCTTTAACCAATAAAATAATTTAAAGTAGCATATATTTTATTTATTTGTTATTTATATTAACTTTGAGTGTATTCATCAATGAACAGACAAATTCTGTCTCAATAAAAATTCAATACAAAGAATTCTGAAAAAAATCTTAAATTTTATACATACATTATTTATAACTAGTTTTGACACAAAAAGTTGTACAATTGAAATTTATAAGAGTAATGTATTTTAAATATTGTAAACAATTTATTCAAGGACATATGAATTCATAAAATAAATTTTTTTAACAAATAATTGTTGTTCATATACACATCAGTTAATCCTTAAGCCTAATGTTCTATTCAACAATTAATGAAATATAAGTTTTCAAACATAATACATGGATTAATGATATTTACCTTGAAGTTTTCTAGAAGCAGCCATAACTAAGAAAACATTTCAAAAACGAACATTAACTTAACATTACTTTGACTACATACAAAATTAACATTTGTCACAATTTTGGACTAAAAAAAATTAATAAAAAATTATAATTTTTATCATATAAATTTCACCACTACCACTGTTTGTGTTTGTGCGTAAACGCTTTGTTCAAGATGGCTACTGATAATTTTCAGGTTATTCAAAATTGAGCAAACGACTTCAATGATTTAAAATTAAATTTAATTTAATATTTGGGATTTGTATTTTATATAAATTTATATTAAAATATTGGTTAAATTGATATTTACTAAAATGTTTCACACAATTAATAAATAAAATTGTATTAAACGTGTGTACCTAATATTTATTGTTCATGTTGAAAAGCTGATCACTGATTCGATAAACACAGCTGTTTTGAAAATTGTTATCTATTAATCTCAATAAACGATAATTTTTCTGTTTATTATATTATTCACACAACGAAAAAATGTTATTTCCATTAATTATATCTATTGTGTAATATTATTATTTATTATTAATTAAAAATCACGAATACCTATCATACATGTTATAATTCATATGAAAGTTCTTCAGGTACTTAGAGATTTAGTTAGTTACGATCGGGTACCATATCCCTGACCTCTAATATATATTTATATTTGTCTATGAAATCTAGATCCAATTTTTTTGAATTTTTTTATTTTTATGTTTAATTCATTACTATTGTAATTTATAATCTATTTCTATAAAATTTAAATGTTCAATCTCACTTTTTATTTATTCTTTTGAAATTATATATTTTTTTTTAGATTTTATATTTATAGGATTTATATTTGTTAATCGTACTTTAATCTTTATTATTAAATATACAAAAATTATTTGATATCTAGTTATATGGTATATAATTTATTATAAGTTATGAGTGTCAGGTTATAAATTAAATGGCATGGGACCTCTCTCAGGCACATAACACTTATATATAGTCTACAGTCAAATAAATATTAGAGAATAACTTTCAATAAATATGATCAAATAAACTCAAAAATATTTTATCTCTTGATTATGAGTTATAACTATACTAGCTTAGTTCAATCAATTATTACTAATAGATTAAATGTTACTATCAATTATCTATTTTATTTTAAGCCAATGTACTCTTGTATCATTATTCACAAAGATTACAGCATAATTAATTTAAATGGAATATGTTACAAATATCTCAAGTTTTGTTAAAATTGAAATTCATAAAGTAGCTTTAATACTTCCAATATTCATATAACTAGTATTATTATTCCTAAAATGAGAACAAAGTTTAAATTTTGTAAAGGTAGTACTAATTAAATAATTAATTTACATTTTTGTTATATTTCTATAATTTTTTGCTTCAAATTATGTAATAATATTATATTTTCTTATTTAATTTTACAATAGTTATAAATACATTATTATAAACATAAATAGGTTTGTGTAATTCTTAGGGATTGAGCCCTTGAACAAAAAGAACCCTATTTGTTTTCTTCAATTACCCATTACATATATATATATATATATATATATATAATTCCAGACACCTTGATAGAATTCAATGTAAGTTCCTCAAATCCATTAGTTATTCCTTCAATTTTCCTTACAAACCTCACGACTATACCTCCATTACCACTCTCTTAAACTTGTCTTCCCTGAATGATAGAAGAAAAGATGCAGCCATTTGATTCTTCAACGGTCTACTTAATAACACTGTTGATTCACCTACCCTTCGATCTTTATTATGTTTTAAAGTCCCTCAATGCTCATCCCGGTCCATTGCTACCTTTTATGTTCCTCATGCTAATATAAATTATTTATTGAATGAGCCTTAAGACGAATTATGTCAAATGCCAATGCGAACCCATCTTTCAACCTTTAACTTATTTAATTGTATACGTTTTATCTATATTTCTATATTGTTATTTTCTTTTTCTTTTATTATTATCTCTGTTCTCACTATTACTGTAACTAACATTTATAAAGGGCTTGCCCGTATATTATTATAAATAAATATATACATACCTTGAGAAGGCTAAGTTCTTCTAAGTCCTTCTAATCATAATTAAAGGGTTTAAAGTGTTGACCCATATTATTTGGCATATCAAATTGTATATATTGTTGTTATTGTTGACATTAAATTCTATATTAGTTGTAAAATAATGCATAATTAATATAATAAGAATTACTAAAGAAAAAAAAATGTATTTAAATAAAATTTTTTGCCATTTAAAATTCAGTTGGGATTTAGAAATAATTACATTTTATATTTTCTGCTTCCATGCAGTATTTTAATATCAATGCTTTAGATAAGCTTATTCGATGATTTGTTATGTTAAAAATCCTTATGTTATAATATCTTCTATTAAAAGAAGATTCTTTCTTTTATCCCAGACCACTCGGTTTCAAATCAATTTTACATTATTATTATTAATTATTATTTTTAAGTGTACCAATTTTCATGATTAAGATTATTAGATATTTTTAAGCTATTTATGTAATATGGAAACATTTAATTGTATAAAAATTTGAAATGTTAATAAAGAATCATAACTAATCGATTAATATTTACATTGGCTCCGAACCTTTTTTGGTAAAACAAATGCCCTATCTTATAATATTTCAGTGATGTGCTAGTTGGTCATCAGAGGTCAGCGAGTCATTAGTTATTATGAATTATAAACAAACACGTTTTGTAATGAACTCTGTACACATGGCTCTATATCCAATTGTGGGTTAGTGGTTAAATATCATCATTTTATGAACAACCTGAATTGTTTACGTTTTGGTACTGCTGACTATTTAGTTATTTACTTTTTTTCTATGGTGTTCTTGTTCCTGAGATGATAGTAAGGATCAAGAATATAGTCAGTGACAATGAGAAAGTGAGTACAAATTTGATCAGTTCATAAGTAAATAACACACTTTATTTATTACTGAGTTGAAGTATAGGAATAATTTTTGACAAAAAGTAATTGAGTTTTGAGTTAAACCATTGATTTTAGAATATCATTGGTTAAACTTAATACATTTAAATATTTTAGTATTTGTTTTCAATATGATAGTCAATCAAAATGTTTTAAATATTAATCAAAAAATAGTAGAGCTATGATGGATGGCAGTAAGTATTACAATTGCTTTTAGAATATATTAAAATATATATAATATATTCTAAAATCAATAGTATTACATACAACATAATTATAAAACTAAAAAAAACATATATGTGAAATATTTGTATGCACACTACTACTTCTGTACATGAATTATTTTTAAAATTACGAAGACACAAAAGGTATACTTAAAAGGTATATAGGTGTATTAATAAAATATTATTTGTAAATCGTAATCATATATATATTTTATTGTAGTTTTACACTATTTACACTTCCACAATTGGTACATTTTTCGAATTTGATAATCAAATATTAAAACAACCACTATATTATCATTACTCAATTGAAGACTGTAGTGAAGGATATTTAACATAATTAGGGTCGAGTCTCGGTTTTCTAATCGTTAGAACTTATGAAATTGTGATGTGATCAGTGCTGTGCTTGTACGTGCGCGTTTTTGCTTGCGAGATTCTCAAGTATGTATTTGTGTCGATGTTAATGCGAGTGCGCGCGCTTGTATTTTGTGTAGTTGGTAGTGGTGCGTACCTCGTAATATTTGAGTCTATGTTGAAGTTCTGTACGTGTGTGATGTGTGCACTGTCCAATAGCATTTGTGTGTGTATGTGGTTGGTGTTGTGTATGTTCAATGTTGGCTGCATTCAATCTTCCATAGTGAAATTACTACTTTTAAACAAAAGGCTGTAAATTTAGTTTTCAATATTTTTGGTTGAGTGTATTACTCTATATTTAAATATTACTGAAATCTATATGTCTAGTTTGATTACAATATTAACGATCACTTAACACCGATTATTACAATTTTAATTCGAGGTGCACCGAAGATACATTTTCCCTTTTGAAAATCATTAAACGATTCACCCGTGGTGGTAGTGGTGTGGACTACGTGACATTTTAGTGATGTGGGATGGACGTCAATTTAAAATACAATCTTTGGCTCTTGTTTATATGGCATACATTTTTCATTTTTAAAGTTTAATATTTATGTTTTAGATTCAATCAGTTTAAAAGGTGTTTAAATAAAAGTGTTTGATTCTTTAAGTAAGTAGATATTTTATTATTCATAATAAAATGAGTGGGAAAAGGGATGTGAAATGTAAACTAGAAATTGATGAACCAAAACAAAAAGAATGTCCTGAAGGAAAATTTATTGATCCTGTCAGTCTAATGGAAAATGGAAAATTTGTATTCAAAGTTCCACCAGAAGCTCCAGTTTATAAACCCACCGCAGAAGAATTTAAAGACCCATTGAAATATATTGCAAAAATTAGGAATGAAGCACAAAAACATGGAATTTGTAAAATTCGACCTCCGTCTAATTGGCATCCTCCATTTTGTGTTGATGTTGATAATTTTAAATTTACACCTCGGATTCAAAAACTTAATGAACTAGATGCAAGTACTAGAGTTAAACTTAATTTCTTGGAAAAAATTGCCAAATATTGGCATTTACAAGGAATTCGTATAAAAATACCTGTATTAGAACAAAGAGCTGTCGATTTATATTCTCTTTATAAAATTGTAGAATTTGAAGGTGGTTTTAATCAAGTGTGCTTAGAAAAAAAATGGAACAAGGTGGCAAGTCGTATGGGTTATGTATACGAAAAAGCTTCTGGTGCTGTATTAAAAGCTCATCATGAAAGATGGCTCAATCCATTTTCTCTTTTTCATGCTACAATTAAAGATGAAATTTATAATAAGCCAGTTAAAAAAGAAAACAATAGTGTTAATGTTATAGAAGAAAGCTCTTCCGCTTCAAATTCACCTAAGAAACGAGCTAGATTAAGTCCTGATGATGATGAACCCGATGATTATATTAAAGATCCATTTTATCTTATGGAAAATAAAGAATTAAGAAAATTGCAGTTTTTTGGTGCTGGTCCCAAGATGGCAGGTTTTAGTTCTAAGTGCAGAATAGGACATCTAAAAACTAAAGAAACTAAAAAATCTAAAAGAAATCGCAAACCTGTTGTTGACAATTTGGCTAAATATTATTGTCAAAAATGTGGCAGTGGTAAATCTGAGGAGACCATTTTAATTTGTGATGGATGTGATTTAAGTTTTCATATGCAGTGTTTAATAATACCACTTTCTTCTGTTCCTAAAGGGGAGTGGAGATGCCATAAATGTGTAGTGAATGAAGTGATAAAACCTAGTGATGCTTTTGGCTTTGAACAAGCTCAGCGTGAGTATACACTTCAACAGTTTGGAGAAATGGCAGACCAGTTTAAATCCAAGTATTTTAATATGCCTGTACATCTTGTACCTACAGATAAAGTTGAACAAGAATATTGGAAAATTGTGTCGTCTATTGATTCTTCAGTAATCGCAGAATATGGTGCTGATTTACATACTATGGACCATGGTTCAGGATTCCCTACAGGCCTTGCGCTTTGTGGAAATGAAGACAATACTTTTTATAAGTCTTATATAGAAGATCATTGGAATTTAAATAACATTCCTATATTAAAAGATTCTGTTCTTAGTTATATCAATGCTGATATATCAGGTATGAAAATACCATGGATGTATGTTGGTATGTGTTTTTCTACGTTTTGTTGGCATAATGAAGATCATTGGAGCTACTCAATTAACTACCTACATTGGGGTGAACCTAAAACATGGTATGGAGTTCCTGGAGATTCTGCTGAAGCTTTTGAAGAAGTAATGAAAGAAACAACACCAGAATTATTTCATTCTCAACCAGATCTTTTACATCAGTTAGTTACTATTCTTAATCCAAATATCTTAATGAAAGCAAATGTTCCAATTTGTCGAACTGATCAGCATGCTGGTGAATTTGTTGTTACTTTTCCAAGATCATACCATACTGGATTTAATCAAGGTTATAATTTTGCTGAAGCTGTGAATTTTGCTCCTGCAGACTGGATATCAATAGGCCGTGAATGTGTAAATCATTATTCATCTCTCAAACGAATATGTGTATTTTCACATGATGAACTTATTTGTAACATGGTAAGCTCATGTGATGATTTAGCACCTAAAGCAGCTGAACTTGTATATGACGATTTGAATGAAATGGTAAAGTTCGAAAGAATTCAACGTAAAGCACTTTTAGATTGGGGTGTTACAGAAGCAGATTTTGTTGAATTTGAACACCAAGCAGATGACTTCCGACAATGCATGGTGTGTAATACAACTCTTTATGTATCTGCAGTATCCTGTTCATGTGATCCTAAAAGATTAGCATGTCTTCGTCATTTTAAACAACTTTGTGGATGTCCACCTCAATTGCATGTGTTTAAATACAGATACACCCTTGATGAATTTCCACCCTTATTACGAAAAGTTAAAGCTATAGCTGAATTGGCATATGAAGATTAGTGTGACTAAACAATTTTAGGAATTATTGATAAAAACTAATGTTAAAACTTTAACTAAAGTTAATACAAATCTAAAAATTAAAATTAGATAGGTTTGATAGAGAGGTATATAGTAAAATAAATTATATTTTTGCATCTCATAGTTAATCGATTAAAATATATTTAAGTTCTTCCTTATTGTAGGTACTTTATTGTTACAATATTAGAGATAAAATTAATATAATTTGACTTCATAAGTAATTTACTAATGTAAAAAAACCAATGTAAATATTAAAATCATATGACATAGCTAAATAATGTATATTTTCTAAAAGTATTTGAGTATTTTAATATTTATTGTACCTACTAATTATTTTCATACTTTCCTCATTGAATTATTTATGTTTTAATTTCTGATATATCTTATAGTTTTGTTTATATTTTAACAAATGTATTATTTTTTAAATGTATAGAAATTAAAAGATGGCCACTTAATTATAACAAATGTTTAACTCATTTATTATTATTATTATATTATTACTAATTTATAATGTTAAATACCTAATAGAATATTTATCTTGTTTAAAAGAAAAATATAAACAAAAATCATTGCCACATCACTATTTATTTTTTTGATATTCAATATTTTAATCAAATAATATAAATTGGTCCATTTGATCTCTGTACAATTATGTAAAATCACATTGTTTTATTTTAAATAATATTAAAACATTTGCTTGATGTGTGATTTTTTTTTTTTTTCAAAAAGGTAGAATTTTAAGTTCCTATATAAATATTAATTTTTTATATCTCAAATTTTCCTGGATTATAATTTGTAATTTGTTATTTTTTTTTTTTTCATGATTTAATGATACAAATCTTAACAACATTGAATTTATATGCCTATTATATTTTAAATTAGATAAAGTTTATCACTTAAAAAAGGTTTTATAAATTAATATTTATAATTTGTAAATGTAATTAAATTGATTTTAGTGAGTTAATATACCTACTTTTCATTTTAAATGCATTACCTTCCTTGTGTTTTATAAATTTTTAAATAATATAAGTTAATTAATAAAATTATTTGAACAAATTTATATTTTTTTCTAATAAATGTAGTAGCTGTATTACATATTGGTGTATAATTGGCATTGTTAATTAACTTACACACATTGTATTTGCTTGTGTATTATTTTATGTTGATAAAGGAACGATATTTTTAAGAAAAAGTTACTTTATTAGATTGTAATTGTAAGGTGTTATTAATATGAATACAAATAATCATGCTATAATGAATATTGTGTTTAATGTAGTACAAATATTCAAATATTATCTTAAGTGTAGTTGTAATTTGTTTGTGTGTACTTAATATTGTATATTTAATTTTACATTTAAATATATAAAGTATTAATTAAAAATAATATAAATAAGTGAATTTAATAAAAATACTTAATATTTGTTTTGAAACTCAATTTATTTTGTTTTATTGGTAGAAAAAGTTTGAAATACATCTTCATTTTTAGATACCTGATGTTCATAATTATTTTTTTTTATATATTTAACGCAATCTGTTTATAGCTCGGGCTATTAGGTTTTTTCCAATGAATATATGACTCACAATAATAATTAAAGCCCATCATTAAATATGTAATATACATATAATATAATTGAGATGAACAGTAGTTTCATTTAACCTTCCAATCATAAATATATATTGTATATTGTTTGGACTATATATATCAAGTTCACTGTACTTATTTAAAAATCTAACTGTTTTAAATTAAATGTTAATTAGTTCATAATAAAATGTCTGTAGTATCTTCTTTTTTAATTTCATAAATTTTACTCCTTAGTTGCATCTTATTAGTAGTCAAAAATCTGTCAGATATGTTATTTTGGAGTTCAACAAATAATTTATCAATTATACATTATACACATTTTATAATTTCATTCAAATCAATTAATAAATCTTTTCCGTCTATGGAATTCACTTAAATATTAATGAATAGTATAATATAGATTAACATATAAATGTATGTGTTACAAAATATACTTACAATTTTACATTCTTAAAATTATCTATTATAAATATCTACGCCTTATTAATAAAATTAGGATTTTGTAACTGTATATATCTAATTAATACAACTAAGATAACTTATTAATATAAATGTCAAGTTTTTCTATACCAATAATAACTCATGAAATATTTTATGTTGTTTTATATATATATTAGAGTGGTGATGAATTTAGTGTAGGACAAGTGGAAAATTTGTCCAGGGTCTCGCGATTTGAATATTATCCAGGCCTCGCTTTAACCCCCATTAAAGACACTCAAAAGTAAAATCATAATACAAAAAACGTGAACTAACAATATCAATAAATTATATTTTTCTATTGGTATTTAAATTAAACTTAAACGTGTTGCGTATTATGAGTTCTTGCAATGTAAGAATAATTTTATTAAGGTAGTACATTAAACTTTGTAATTTATAAGTTGTATACAACCATTAGTGTTTTCTCCGTAACCGATAAGAAAAACATCGATCAACTATTCGCTGCAGCACTCAATGTTTATACAAAATAATTATAAAAGAGTTCTTGTGCGTATCAATTTTGTTATTACTTCATATTATTTCTTTTTTCATTTGGTGAACAAACGATCACAAATTAGCAAATCATTTTTCACTGAAGAACAACCGGTTACAGCACTTAGGCGTTCGCTACAATTTTTAATACTATTTGAGTTTCGTAAGACCCAATCTAGAATAGTCTTAAGAGTTAGCCTATCGCAAAATAGAAAAGCAAAATTGTGTCATCATTTGTAATTTTTACTTCAGTCAACTAAAAATAATTGTTTTATACATGCACATATGAGTAAGTTATGTTAAAGCAAGAAAAGAAAAACTTTACACATTAAGATAGTCATTATGTCAGGAGCATATTTAGACGTACTTCTAGGGAAGGCGACTCAAATTTTTTCTTTAATTCAGGCTCAAAATGTACATGTAAAATTGTTGGTAATATTTAAATCAAGTAAATTCTTAATATTTGAGGTTTTTGGTTAATCTAATACCGCCCGCATCCACTTAGAATCGACTTTTGTGTAGTTATTTTTTAACACTTATCTGTGTTTTGAAAGTTACCCTTGTGTTTTATTTGATTTTTCACTAAGTATGGACCCGAAAAAAGTCCAATTCTGTATTCACATCCACGCGCAATTTGATTTCGTTATAAAATGATACACATTATCAGGCCCGTATTTCAAAATTTGGTACCCCGAACATATAATTTATGCTCCCTTTCCTAAAATAAATAATAATAATATAACATTTATTATTTCGTCCATAATCAAGATTCTTTAATATTAAAATATAACTTATAAATGGAAATCGTTTAATACCATTTTTAATTAACAAATTAAACAAATTATAACATAATAAAAATACAATTTTTTTCATGTGGCGTTCCATTAATGGTAAACCATATCATCATAGAATGTCAAAAATACCAACATTTCCGCTACCAATCCCACATCTCCGAACAAATCTGCCAAACTCTAGGTCCTAACCCATTAGATGTAAGAAAGCTAATTTTATTTCTCAAAAAATCTCAATTATATAATTTAATATAGTACTCATAAGTTGTCAAAAATATTAAAATGTAATTATCAATAATGTACATATACTGATGGCCTAGTTGTCGATGCATTTTTGATCAATAAAAAAAAAAATACTATTTTATTTTTTTTTCATTAAGTACATTTTTAAAATTAATTTTGCTAAAATATTTTGCCGTCCCAGGCATATGCCTACCCGTGACCCCCCCCCCTAAATATGAACCTGTACATTATTAAAAATAAGAAATGTGTATCTCACATGTAATCAATTCCTTAAATACAGATTCAGGGGGATCGATCACCCCCTCCCCTTAAATATGCCCATGCCTTATGTATGAAAGTAGAAATTATTATAGGGGTACTTCTCAATATTTTTAAGAAACGTAAATTAAAAATATATATATATATATATATATATAATACGTGGCGCAAGGTGCTTGAAAATTGCTCAAAAGGTTGTATTTTATCATTTTTTAGTTTTTTAAAGTTAATGTTGAAACTAGCGCTTAGAGTAAAAATGAATATAACTTTTATTGTTGAATGTAACAATACCAAAAAAAAAAATTTTTTTGGTAAAATTCAATTTTTATAATTATATACGATCTTTTAATTTTATTATTACATTTAAAACATCTATTATATTATTATTATTATTTTACATAATTTTATTTTATCCTTCAATTAAATTATTTTTCTTGAATGAGGATAATTTTTTCTATAGTCAGCCACGTTTTGAAAAGATATTGTTTTTGTTTTTCGTTTTTGGTTAAAATATAATTTAAATCTTCAATTAATTTAAATGCACTTACGGCACTATTATTTATATATTTATATTTATATATTTATTCTATTTATTATTTAAAAAACTATTTCTAATATCAAATCTTCTAAAAAATGTTATTGAATTTGGATAAATAAATTCATCAATTGTTTCCTTAAAAAATACCTTATAATCGATTGCTACATTGATTTTTTTTAATATTATTTTTTAATGCCTGAACCATACTTTTTTTATTTCTTACGATAAAAAATCGTCAAAAAACTCTAATACAGAATTTTCGGATGATAAATACTCTAAACGGTTGCTGAATTGAGTCCTACTTCACTTATATCTGAATAAGTATTTTAATATCCCATATAACTTTTTAAGCATTCTTAATCTAGTCGAGGAGCTTCAATTGCGTTGTCGCAGAAAACCAAAATTTAAGTTCGTACAAGAAAAATACAAAAATCGTGAACTCCAATTTTTTTGTCGATTGTTTAATAAAAGTCTTGATACAAAAATATTTTTAAGCTTTATATTGCTTTCGCCAACCATCGCGCATGATGAAAGGCAGGGCCGTCCCTAGGGCAGGGCGAGTAAGGCCCTCGCCCCGGGCCCCGCGCTCTCACCACAGATGGACAGGCCTTGCTTTAATAGATCATAGATACAATAAATAAAGTTTAATTGATTAGCAAAAAAAAAATAAACATATCATTTTTTTTTCATATAAAATTGTTTGTTATATAATTAATTAATTTACTTGTTCATATTGTTGTAAGTGCAATGTATTATATATGTTAAGACTATTTGCACACATTTGAGTTCCAATATGCAACTAACGCGCGATAATGACATTTTCGATATTTAAGGCTATTTTACTCTGCCTGGAGCGTGAAAATCATCAGGACAGCCATGGAGCTCGAATAGAATAACTATAATAAGATTTAACACTCAAAAATATAAGTGATAAATTTAATAATTCGTTGTAATCAGTTTCGATCTGGCCCACCCAGATACCTGGTAATTATGGGGGGGCCCTGAGATATATTTTTAAAATAGGAACTCAATCAGCAGCAGATCCAGTTTGAGAACTGTGGGTCAGGCTATTTTAAGAGGCCATTTATTAGAAGAGCTGAAAGTGTTTTTATATAGAATTATTATTATTTTTATCACTGTTTTTAATTAATTCAAAATTTTAAAAAAAACTAGAAAACTAGAAAGAAAACTAAAAATTGAATAATTTTTCTGAATCTCTAATTTTGATGTTTTATTCTTGATCTTACAAAAAAGGACCAACTTAATAACAATTTAGCAAGATACTTTTTTTTTGAAAATGTTTATTCTTACAATAAAGATCTTAATGATTTTTGCAAATTTTTAAAAATTAAGTATATTCAAAAGATTGAAAATTCACCCCTAATTATAAAACTTTAACCCTTTTGGGGCACGCAAAGGAGTTGATTTATCACACTCAAAATTTACTATAAATATTTTTTTAGAACAAAATAAAATTTAGGGGTCACCGCAATAACATTTTTAAGTCAAAAAATAAGGACTACCCTAATATATATATAGTAATCATAAATATAAAATGTTGGGACTTAAAATTTATCATAACTTAAGTAAAATCTTACTTTGCCTGGTTCAAAAAAAAGTTTTCAAATTTTAAAATATACCAAATGAACATCCATTTACAATCATGTATTTGAAAGAGAAAGAGGTAATCACTATTTGCCCCTATATATATATATATGGTTTCTATTTGTCATTAATTTTTTTAAAAGAATGGTGGGTAGGAAAAAGTTGCATTCTAGATTGATTTTTAATTGATATGATATACCTTAATTACTGTTTTATTATACATAAGTGTACATAATATATTTAGGAATTAATTATAATTATTGAGTAATAATAAAGTAAAAGTTAATTTAAAATTTATTGAATTTAAATATATCGGAAATATTCAACAGTTTTTCTCTTGTAGTCACATTTATTGTACTAGATAATTTTCTAACAAGATTTTTTTGATAAATCTGAAACAAAATTAAAATTAATTCACCTTTTATTTAATTATAACCAATAAAAATACAACTATTTTTTATATTTAATTTCTAGATTTCATCAAGGAAATAATTAGATAACAACTCTTGCATACATAAAAATTTATAATTTCATGTATTTTTACTAAATAATTTAATATCATATGATCTATCTGCAGCATAATTGGCAACAAAATTAAAAAGAAAAATATCAGCATATTTAATAATTACCTGAATAAATTTGAAACATTGAAACATAGAAGCACCAGTATAAATTGTTGATAACTGAATCTGTTTCTCCTGTAGTTTGATTATAAATGGTAGAACAGATGATAGAAATATATGGGGACCATGTCTGGTTTTAAAAATAATAATTTTTGTTGCTGGATTACAATAACGAACTAAAACATGATAAAAGTTTAAATAGTTTTTCTAAAACTAAAAAGAAAATTTAATAAACTAATACAAAGTTCATTGTTATCAAAAGTTATAAGTTCAAGTTTCAAGTTCAAACAAATAAAAGATTTGTAAATATCATGTCTTGTTTCTTACAAATATAACAACAATTTTTTTTTTTATACATTTCACAAAACTTCCACTTTATTGACTATCCAAATGTTTTATATTTTGATTATAAAAAAAGTTCATATTTTTAAATTTAAGTATTTTAAATAACTTTTTGAATTTTTATGAAAAATTTTCTTAGATTTTTCAAAAGAGGCTAAACACATTATTTTCAATCATGAATATTGATGAAAAATGATTTCAATGTTCATCATACTAGGCATTATTTTTTAATCCTTACTTCAATTAAGCATTTAATAGTTATTTTCTAAAACCTTTATAAATTCAAAAAAACTGTAGTAAGTATCATAAAAATTGTAAAAGTTTTGTTAGTTTTAAAGTAAATATGATGAAAATAAGAAATCTGAAACTGTAAACATTCTAAATTTAATTATAATAAACAGCAAACAAATATTGAACCATGAATGTTAGTATTTTAAGTAATGTAAATAAGGTTCTCAGTAAAAAGAAAAAAGAAAAAATGGTTTGAATGTAAATAATATTTCTATATTGTAGTGTAGATTCAAACTAAATTAAACAGTCAAAAATCCAAAAATTGCTTTTTAAAAGGGGATTTTTTGGGTTTAACATTTAGGCTTTAACTTAAATAACATAAAGGATATTATTAATAAATTTATTTATTTTGTATGGCATTATATTAATATATATAAATAATATATAATAAAGTTGTTTACTTGGTTTTTTGAAATTAAAAATTATATTTCAGTATATACCTTTAAAACATGTCCGAATGGCACCTACTCCAAAATCTCCATGTAATGTTTTGACCATATTTAATACTGTTGACTGCAATTCTCTATCAGAAATTTTAAAATCTAAATCACTATCTTCTAAATTTTTCAGTTGTACAACCATATATCTAAAAAAAATTTGATTACAATTATAAGGACAGCATTAATACATATTAAACAATTATCTTTTAAGACATTTTGTATACAATGTCTATAAAACAAGTGAATCCAACTCTAAAAATATTTTTCTATCTCTATCCAAAAATATTGAATTATTTGAAGTTTTAACTCTTGAGTACATTTTTTTTCAAATCATTAAAAATGATAATTCTTCTTGAATTAACCATCAAGAATTGAACAGTCAAGTCTATAAATTAACATCAACATTCCAGTTACTATATTTCGATTGAGTTCAGCACCTCATTTAAAAATTAAATTACATGCAGACAAATATGTAATAGAGGTATGTGGTTTATTAGATAAATAGAAAATGTGAAATGTATTATTTATACTAATAAAATATTGTACATAACATAAATACAAAATCGTAGCAGATAAAATTAATCATATAGTAATCTACAACATTTTTTAACTTTTCCAATGTATTTAATACAATAATAACATAAATTATGTTAATGTTACAAATTACATTAACAATATTAACATTGTTAATGTTAATGTCACAAATTACCTGTTTTTAAATCGTACCATTCTTGAATTTGATTAAATATATATAAAAAATGTAATGTATATTAAATTTATATTATTATTATTAACTTATATATAAATATCACCGGCCACAGACTAATGAATATTTTTTCAATTTGAATCCATAGTTGTTTGCATTACATATGTTTTACCTAATTTTTAATATTATTGATAAGAGCTAATATAAAATATGTTATCTGTGAATCAGTTATCTATAGTGGAAACCAAGAAGGAAATCCACCTTGGTGGAAAGGTGATAACACCATAGCCACGAAAAGTTTTCTCTGATTATAGTAATATTTCAAATAAATTACTACAAAATTGCTCCGAATATGAATGATGAAATTATAATACCACGAACAATCATTATTCCGATAACGATATTACTCCGAAAATATTGCTACGAATATCAACTGTTTCAATAATATACAAAATATACCTGCAAGGGTCATAAATGTACGGCCCAGCTCGGTTCAACATTTTTTTCTAAAGCCCGGTATAGTAAACCATCGGGTAGCAAACATCCGCTAACATTATATGATGTATTGATACTAATGTGGCAAAACCGAAACGGAAACCAATATCAATACTTACTCGTATTGATATGCATTTCCCACGGAACAGATCCTATTTTTAATATTACAGAAGCAAGCTTCCTTGTTCACATTCGTCAGAATCGGACAAACGTATTCTGTATCAAATAATACATTGAACGGTAACTTGAAAGTCGAGTGAGCAGTTCTGCCGCCACTAAGGAGAGTTGCTGCTATACCAGATGAAACTACTGTTAATGCAACTTTACCTGAGGATCTAATTTGAGCCAACAACAAATTAATTAGGAATGTTTTTCCTGTACCACCCGGAGCATCTAAAAAAAAAAACTCTTCCTTGATGATTCATTACGCTTTCTGTAATAACATTAAAAGCATATTTTTGATAATTTACTAATTTTGGTAAATTGATTTCTACAAATTCTTGTAATCGGTTATTATCGTAAGAACGCAATATTGAGAATTCAAAAAGATCAGATGCATTTTAATTTCAAACAGGTGAGTTCATTCCAAATTCAGTTAAATATTTTTCAGACAGACAAACAACTTTATTTTCTGTTTCAATCAAACCTCTATCAAATATTTCATCAGAAAAAGTAAATTGCAAGTCATTTAATCGAGTGCGCTCTGTATGAAGAATATCTTCACAAAAATCATTTCTGAACTGTTCCCACAAAGATTGAGGTTCAGACGGTTGGCAGAAAACTATGATTATTGCGAATAATTCTCTTAATTTTGAAGGACTTTATAAAAGAATTGCCTCCGTTAGAGCATTTTTCCATTGCTCGTCATTTTCTAAAAGCCTAAAAGCAAAACAGGTAGCTTTAAAAGTCGTGTGAATGACTCCATCAAAGGCCTTCAAGCTTTCAAATGAAGTAGGACCTTGTACATAATTTAGTAACAATCTTAAATGGAAGCACTCACTTTGATTTGGGTGAATCGTGTAAATTTTACCAATGGTAGTGTTCATTTTTATTCCTGGCCAACTTGGAACATCTTTTCCCCGTCTTCTCTTTAACCAGCCTTTGCTATCATCCCAGGTATAATAAGAAGGAACTTCATGATAGAACAGTGTGGTCGCAAAATCATCATGTGAACACAATTCAAAAAATGCAATTAGTGTCGTTTTTCTTGGATTTTCAATAACTTGATGAAGATTATTAGCATTAAAAAAAACACGCTGTCCATTTTCTAGATGAACAGCCAAGTGCTGAACTGTCGGATCTCTATCATGGATTTCAAAATTGAAAATTCTCCAAAACGCTTTAGAAGTACATATGTATCGACTTTTCAAATAATTTGTAATCTCATCGTTTTCACGATTAACAGAAAAAGTAACTTTATCTGATCCTTTATTAATATATTTACATATGTATTTTATCGCTTTTATTGAATGACAGTATTCTACGTTAATATGCGCATTAAAGCACCTAGATAGCACTGGACAATACGGTAAAACCCAACGGTTGTCAACCACGATTTCTGTTTGACCACGAACTTTAAATATTGCAGTATAACTTCCATCATCTGGTGATCTCCGTCGATAAGGCGGATAACCATCATCTTCAGTTTGAGTATCCTTGACCAATTTGTGAGGGTATTTCTTACTACATTTTTCATTATTCATACATGGCGATCTAATATTTAACTCGTCGCATGGGCCATGAATCATATTCTTGCATACTATTTCATAAAGTATAGGATCTCTATCATTGTTTGGTATCTCGACAGAAATAATTTTATCAGTTTCATCTGGCTGAATTTTCGTTTGTAATCACAAAAGAATGTGGCAGTATGGCAAACCTCGTTTTTGCCATTCAACACTGTAAACATAACAATTTACATCACCGAAAATATATTTATTTTTTAATAAATGCATAAACTTTTTTAGTTTGAGATGAAAAACTCTAGAAATTATATCGTGTCTATCAAACGACTTTTGATCTTGAAATAATTCATTTTTTACTTCCGGCCATTCCGGGTTGCATGTGAAAGTAATAAATAAATCTGGACGGCCAAATTTACGAACATAAGTCATGGCGTCCTGATTTTTTTCATGCATGTAACTTGGGGAGCCAATAAAAGAGGAGGGAAGAATTACTTGTTACCCCACGTTATTAGCATTAATATTTGCATCATTGTTAACAGCATCTCGGAGGTGAACATAATCATCCACGCGTAGTTGTTTTTGATGGTTACAAATAAAGTGTAGTCTTTCAAAAATCATTTTTGCCATCATATCTACGGCGAATTGGCTGAATAATATTTTGTAATAATGTAGATGATTTAGACTTGTTTCTCTAATCATAAACCTATAAGAATAAAATTGCATGCAGGAGACAGTTTTTGTTCGATTTTGGTTATTTTTCTGTAAAATATTAATGTGATAACCGTCTTCGCCTTTAGTATACATCAATGAATATTGCAGTGCATCATTAAATCTATTCAATTCGGAAACTCGACTCAAGTATCCACTCCGACCGTGCAGAACTATATCTCTGAGACCTTTATCTTCATTAACTAATAATACAGCTACTTCATCGATGGTAGGTGCATTATATTGACCTTTGTGTTCATTTTGAGGAACTCTGTCAGCATGAATAATTAACTTAAAGTTTTGCAACTCGTCAAAAGACCTCGACTCCAGATTAGATCTGAAGCTCTGTATGAGGTGATTATTTTCACGCAAAATTGTTTGCAATGATTCAATGAGACCTCTTTTTAAATTTGGAATCATATTTGTTCGAATAGATATTTGATCCGACTTTGGCATAAAATATATTTGTAAAAATTTAGCATTATTTCCAATTTCGGGTAATAAACTACCTATTAAATGATGCACTTGACCCTGAATTTTAAAAGAGGGCATGAAGTTCCCTTCTGCTATTTCGTTTGCTCCAAACGATGTCATTTGAAACAGTATTATACCGTCTAGAATTATCAAAGAAATGTTTTGATAGAGGGTAAGAATTATCAATTAAACTTTTAATTAGGTCTGGAAGATCTTCAAATTGGTGTAAAACAAGCAGGGGCGTCATTTCAACTTTTCAATAGGGATGCAAACATTTGAATCAGGCCATTTGTTCCCTCCACCAGGCCATTTATATATCCTGTTTATTTAGCGGAACTTAAAAAAATTCTTCAATTCTTCAATAGTACAATAGGTTCTTATGAAAAACTCGCACCATTACAGCGCGTTTGCATCTTACATTTTATCGACGACGGCGCAATTATAACATTTTATACGGGCCAACCAAACATTTAAAAAAATAGGGCTGCCAATGTATAGTCTGAATCCCCCAAATGACGCCTCTGAAAACAACTTTACCGTCAGCGCAGCAAAGTCCATGGGTTTCATCTTTCCATTTTTTTGCATGGCACTTAGGACATAATATAGTCATTCGCCCAATTTGAAGCGCTTTAATATTTAAATAATCAATCTCGGATTGATAATTAAACGAAGATTTCATACTCAAAGCGTCACGTTGCTTCTGTGCAAGTGTTTGAGAACGTTCTGGTGTGTTATTTTGTTGCCTTCTGTTATGCATTCGAGTTGCATTAGCAGTTCTTCTGCCAATGCGTGCTCTTTGCGCTCTCGGCATGATAATGAATTGGCCACTTACCCGAAATTTAGATAAAAAAAAAGGTAAAAAGTAGGTAAAAAAACTAAATACAAATTATATCAGTGCGTAACCAAAGCGGCGTGCGTAGCAAAGAATCACACTCGTCGGCTACCAAGCACAGACTGAGCCCTTAATGCCACGTGAGTTATTTGCTAATAACCTGCTGTTAGATAAGCAGTAGGTATTGCGTATTATATTAGCGATTAACTATGTAGGTATAAAAATAGATAAAATACTATTTGCGGAAAAACGCGTTCGGCGTCAGGTGGATCGTAACACTATTAAATAATAGTGTTGATAAATACTATTTATAATCGATGGTAACACGTTTGTTGGCAAGAATATTATTACATAAGAGTATTTTTCGATAACGCAAAACGTAATCGGTATTTTCCATACACTTCTTATAATTTTAAAACTATTATTAATTCGGCAAATGTTTTTGGACGCGCGTGTACTATTGATGAATGTCAATTAAATCATTTGATGACCAGTTAGATATCTAACACTATACAAAGGTTAAGTTGCAGGTAGCTGTAAACCCGCGGCCCGATTACAAAGCCGCTTACACGCGACTTTTCTACAATTGATTTAAATTTTTTATGAACTTTTTTACTGACAAAAGTGGTACTAAAACCTTCAACAGAGTGTCGGGTTTCTGCCAAAAAAAATTTCAGCCAAATCGGTTCAGTAGTTTTCTCGGTTAGCGCAGTCTAAGAAAAACCCTTACAATTTTATATATAGTATAGATTAGTTTAGACTGTAGACTAGTCTTTGTTTAATATTTAGAAGAGTTTGAAGCATTCTTGTTCGGAGATTTATAGCAAGTTTTTTTGAGTGGATGTATGGAGACTATGTCAGTCGTTTATATAAGATTAAGCCTAGGTAATTAGTTTGAGTGTTGGTTGGGATTGGAATATTGTTAAAATATATTTGAGAAGGGTTTTTTTTACGGAGAATGAAGGTTGTGTAATATGACTTACTTTCATTTAACTTTACGCGCCATTTAAGGAACAAGCTGTGCATGTCATTGAGATCAGTGGCGTGGCGAAGGTATTATATTGAAGCAATTGCTTCTTCAAAATTTTTGGTGAGTGGGTGGTCACCCTGCCATAAATTACCTAGGTGGCTAGATACATCGTAGAAAATGGAAATATAATATGTACCTTACATAAGAAACCTACGCCACACCCTACAGTATAAAGCCTTAAAAACGTAATAGTAAATTAGTACGCTGAAAACATCAGTCTGTCGATGCAAATTTTCGTCATCGGTCGGTTACAGTGCATTATTAGGAAAAAACAGATGAATGGTTTTTGAAAATTCGTCCAACGACCGCGATCAACAAGTGCCCGCACGGTGTAACAATAATGCAAAATCCTTGACATCCCCAAAGCCAACAGTATTTTATACAAATTTCAAAACGTTACAGAAATAAAGTACTAAGCATTTCAAGACAATATACAACGTTCAACATCGTTACACCTATGTACACTACATAGATCATGATACAAGATAGTTAATGAACTAATTGAATAGGTACATCCGATTATACAAGTACCTCTACTAATATATGTGTATTTAGTAAATTTTAAATTTTTCGTTGTGGTGGAAATGCCGTTATGATGGATAAAAGTTATGGGTGGGTATGTTTGTATACCTTTTTGCTCCTCATCAAAAATTAGTTCAAAACGCCAATGATTGAGATGCGATTGAAGATGGGTGGAAGTGGTGTTAGGATCTTGGTTTACAACAATAAGTATTTTGTCGTCGGCGTAGTCAGTTACGTAGGTATTTGTAGTGGTTGGTTGATCGGAAGTGTAAATATTGAAAAGAAGTGGAGAGGAAATAGCACCTTGGGAGACTCCTGAATCGATGTGATAGATAGAATATAGATCGTTATTAACTCTAGTTGAAAAGAAGCGGTTTTCGCGATCATTTTTAAAAAATAAAAATTAAGAAGGAGGGAGAAAGTCACGTAGTTTTAGAAGAAGACTAGAATGCCAAATCCTATCAAAAGCTTGTGACATATCAAGCATTATCGTTGAGTAGTACATTTTTTTTCCAGATATTAAGTCTACAAAGCGGTGTATTTGGTGTGAGATGGAGTGCCTTTCACGGAAACCAAACTGATATTCTAGGATAATTTTTTTATACACTTAAATCGGACGTATGCGTTTTGATAACAATTTTTCGCATACTTTTGAAAAAAAGGGGAGTAAACTTATTGGTCTGTAGGAGGACGGTAAGTCCTGAGGCTTATTTGGTTTATGAATAAGTATTATTATGGAGAATTTCCATTATAAGGGGAAATATGAAAGTCGAATAATTGCATTTAAAATATATGTTAGCATGAGTATAGCTTACTTTGGGAGTTGACGGGAAATTTTGGCCATTATTTGGCCACAACTAGGCGACTTTTTTGAAGGAAAAGGTTTTACACATTGACTTACTTCGCCCGGAGAGAAGTGTTTCGGGGGAAAATACATGGGTAAAGGAATAGATAAAGTGGCATCTATATTATTAAATACTGGAGATATTGGAATGTCGTTATGTGGTTGGAATACTTTAGCAAGATGAGTACCAAATAACACCACATTATCGTAATCAGTTATTGCCCAACTGGAATTTTTTTTTTCAATGGTGTTATGGTTTTATAACTGCGTAATATACGTTTGGTAGCTTTCCAAAGAGAACAGTTTTTTTTACAGTTAAAGAAGCGTTATATTTATCGAAGGATTCTTTTCGTAATTCAGATAGCATTTTTTTTACTCGATTAGATAGATTATTATAAATTTGTTTGTCTGACGGTAATCTAGTTCTCTGCCACTTGGATCTTGCGCGGCGTTTCAAGATACGATCACGAGCGATGGTTGGAAGTTGCATTGAGTAATGAGGAATAGATTGTGTAGGGATTGAAGAAGAGCTCCAGGTGGATGTTTGTATAAAGGAAGTAAAATTTTTTACTGCCGTTTCAATTTGTTCTGGAGTTTTGAAACTGATATTAAGATTGATTTTGTTATCTAGTATTTTTTTAATTGTTCCAAGTTAATTTTACCATTTAAGAGAGTAGGATATTTGTATCGCCTTGGAGCGAAGGTATTTAATGTTAAGAGGACAAGAGAGTGGTCGGAGAAGAGACCGGACAGGTTATTAACTTCAGTGTTAATATGGTTGGGAATATTAGAAACAAAAATTTCTAATATGTCAAGGCGTTTTATAACTGACGTTGGCCATTATGTTGGGCCAGGGGGTGCTATTATGGAGAGGTTTTTGATGAGAGAGATTTGTTTTAGAGAGATGTCTTTAGAATTATTAGAGTGACATTCTCAGTCGATGTTTTTTGCATTTAAGTCACCACCCTCTATAAAATTATGGCCAAAGGTGGAAAAATAATCATCAAACATTATACCAGAGATATTGTGTTCTATCTGAGATATATTTTTAGCACTAGAACATCAAATTTTGTTATTTTTCCCATTAATATTTACCCCTAGATATTTAAACTCTTTTACTTGTTTGAAAGAATATCCGTATATCTTGAGATTGCTCTTCGGTGTTACTTATCTTGACATAACCATGTATTTTGTTTTCTCCTCGTTAACTATTAAACCCATGTTTTTACTTGCTTTAAATAATTTTTCCGTGCTAGTTTTTATTTCATTTATAGATGATCCTAAAATGACTAAATCATCTGTATATGCTAGAAGAGTATTCATAACAAACAAATTCCATTTCTCGTTTTTCATGCATGTCCATTATCACTTGTTCCAAAGCAAGATTGAAGAGTACCGGAGATAGTGCGTTTCTCTGTCTTAAGCCGGTCTTGCATTCAAATGCTTCGGAAGTTTCCCTCATTAAACGCAATTTGCAGTATGTCTGTTGGTTACAGATCTCAACTAGTTTCACCAATTTCCTTTGTATATTGACAATTCTTAGCGTTATCCAGAGTTGTTCACGGTCAATACTATCATATGCTTGTTTGAAATCTACAAAAAGTATATGAAGGTCTTTATTATATTCGTAGAATTTTTCCATTACTCGTCTTATTGTGAATATATGATCCGTCGTAGATTTTTCTTTTCTGAAACCAGTTTGATAATTAGTTAAGATGTCTTCCGCATATATTACTAATCTTCTTAGCTACGCCATCGATAAAATGTGGTAAGCTGTATCTAACAAGGAAATTCCACGGTAGTTTGATATTACACCAGTGTCTCTTTTTTGAATATTGGACAAATTATCCCGGTTTTCCAATCCGTTGGAATCTATTCCTTGTGCCATATTTCTCGAATTAAGGATTGTAGCTCTATAATTAAGTTTTTTTCTGCTGTTTTGAGTAATTTGGAGTTTTTGTCATCTTCTCCTGGAGCTTTATTTTTAAGGTTAGTGATAATATACTCTATCTCTGTAAGATCAGGCTCCTTGTATTCTGGTACGGCTCTTTGATAAGTCAGTTCTTTATACTTGGTTTTGTTACTGTTATTTGTTTGGCTCGCATTAAGTAGCGTATCAAAATGTTTTCTGAAATGTACGATTTCTCTCGGTTCCGAAATGAGATCATTCTGATTATTTTTTAAGAAAAGTGTTTGTAGTTTAAAACCCTGTTTGAGTCGTTTGCAATGTTTAAAAAAAATTCTCGGGTTGTTCCTCTTTCCTTCAAGTTCTTCGAGTGCTTTCTTCTCATATAGTCTTTTTTGTTGTTGTTGTCGTTTACCTGAAAATAAATAACTCGTTTGCACACGACACATTCACACACATGACACGTAAAGTTACAGTACATATGGACTATGAATATGGACGGTACAATGATGACTAGTGTGTTGATGTCGTAAACTTTAATATGACGTAGAAATTTCTAATAATTTTAAATCTCGGTGAGGTTTTAATATTGATAATTATAAATTTAGTAAATACCGTGTTTTAATAAGTGGATGTTCAAAATTTAGATGCACTAAAAAAAAAATGTCCTGTGAGTGTTATTGGTAATAACTAAAACAAATTAATTAAAGTAACCAATTCTCATACTCATGAGGAGTATAATAACCAACGGTAATAAGCAAACGAGTTCTGACACTAGGTATTTTCGTCACAGGTAGCCAAAATGTATGTGCACAATGGAGTTGTGCATTTTTGCGCAAACGAGTTGTAGCCGTTCAGTGGTACACTAACGTGGAACCTAAAAACTAGGCAGCTGTAACTGGCTATAGTATAGTATCCTATATTATTGGTCTTAACAATATCCATAGTCAAACACAATGGATTTTCTTTAAATACTAATTATCGTTTCTATTTTATATTAGTACTTGGTACTATGATACTATAGAAATAATAATCTCGCTAATAGACAAGTACCTCTACCCCGCTAATAGTATGCCATATATTTTGGTAGTGTTGTTACTTATTAATGACATATTTTTGAATTGTATATTAATAACTTTATTATAACCATTACTCGTACCCACGTTCCACGAATTACATAATATTCGTGGTTATTCCTACGCCGTAATGAGAATTTATCATTTTTATTTTAAATAACAATTATTTGTCATGCAAAAAAAAAATCCATAAAATGTCCAAGCGCGGCCAGAAATTAAAAATCCCAGCCCGGCTCGAAAAGTTTTACAAAAAAAAGCCCAGTCCGGCCCGACCTGAAAATTTTTACAAAAACGAAAGTCCGATCAAGCACTCATTTTTTTTTAAGGCCCGGCCCGGTCCAGTCTCAGTACGGGCCGGGATTTTTGAAGACCGGGTTTGGCCGGCCCGGCCCTTGCAGGTCTTTAATATACAATTACGATTTACGAAATAATAACAACGGGTCTAGAACGTTCCACTGCAGACCGGTTCGTCGCCGGGCTATTCGCAGCGAAGAGAACCTCCCTACGAAATATTATTACCAATTATATATTTATTATTAAAGATTAATAAACAGCAATACTAAGGTTATGATATTTTTTCAAACCTCACTACCCGACTTTTTACATACGTTCATCCCTGATTGACAACTCTTGAGTTGTGAAACATTAATTTTGATATGTTTCTCAATTTAAATCAATTACATTTTAATACCGCCACAGTACCAGAATAGAATTTGCAGCTTTAATTTTCGTTTGTTCGTAAGCAGCTATGCGCTTGCATAATTCTCCGGGGCAAAAGATTTTTTCAGAGTGTATAATATGAACAAAGTCCCGAAAACCAATACTTTTGGGAAAGAAAAATAACAAAATTTTTTGTATGTACGATCTATGTTTACGGCTTGATATAATGTGACAAGAATTATAAAATTATTAAATAATTTTCATTTTTATTAAATACGTCATTATGAAATTATTTTTTTAATTTTCAACATAAAAAAAAAATTTAAAAAACCTATAATTTTCTAGGTAATAAAAATGGATATCCTTAATTGAATTCTAAATTTTTTCTGTTAAACCATTGATTATAAGATAATTAATTAGGTATTAATTAAATTGATTAATTATTAATTGATTGATACAAGTCTAAAGTATACTATTGTAAACAAACTAAAATATTTTTATTTAAATATATTTAAATATTAAATAATTTTTATTAGTTCTTTAAATTTATGTTTTTTATTACACACCACTACTATCTAATTTTTAAGAACAAATCATAATTTATAATCACACTTAGACTTAAACAAAATAGTAATTTAAACTGTTAAAGTATATATGTATTATAGTTACCATAGGTTAATACGTTGAGCTTATATTGTTTAACATATTGTTTTGTTAATTGATTTAAAAGATGTTAAGTCTTTTAAGTCTTAATTTTGGCTACAATTAGTTTGGGCACATTTTAAAATTTCCCTGTTATAACCTGTAACTCGTTTGAGTACAGCATATAATACTGTAGTAGAAACCTCTTGTTAATACAATAATATGGTATAGCTATGATTATATTTTGTACAATTAATATATTTTGTTAAATCATGGTGACATGCATTTGTTACGAAATTCAATGCAACAAGAAAAAAACATTTCCCAAAACTCCCAAATACTGTTAACGAGGCTGTATTACAGCTGAAATAATTTTAAGTTAAATTTAAAGATGAACAATTTATGTATTCAGTGACGATAATAGTGTAGTATTGTTAACATGCTCAATAAATTTAAGTGCTTTATGTGACGCTCTACATGTATTTGGAAATAGAACATTTTCTTATTGCCCAAAATTTTTTACACAACAGTATACCATTCTACCATTCATATTTATCAGAATTATTTTTACGTATCAGTAGTATTTTGTTTTATAGAAGATAAACATACATCAACATACATAACTATGTGGGAATCGCTTCAAAATCTTTGTACTCACATTCTCGATTAGCAACATATTATTAAAGAATTTCATGTTGATTTTGAAAAATAAGCTCATAATTCAATAATTAAGATTTTAAAATTATTTTAAAAGTCTTTCTACAGTGTAAAATTGTATGCTGCACATTTCATTTAGTTCAATCATGGTTTCGTCGAATACAAAAAAGTAGTTAATTTTTACGGGAATATAAAAATAATAATTCAGAGGGTAGGTAAATGGCTTATACATTTTTTTTTGGTTTGCTGTACTTGCTACCTGAAGAAATAGAAATAGCATTTTTAAATTTATTAGTAATTTCTCCACCAGATGGATTATACTTCTCTGATTATGTTTTTTCATTATATACATTACCTAATTCAAATTTCAATCCATCTCTATGGGCGGGAAAACCAGATGATTTACCCAGAACAACGAACGGAGCTGAAGTATTCGATAAGCATTTTAACAATCAATTCTATAACCCTCATCCACATGTGTACCAAGTAATAGATGTTATTTTAACATTCAATCAGAAACTGAACTTAAACTAAATTCAATAAAAATTATTGTTATAACTATTGCCGGAAAGAAATGATACAAATAATTGAGTAGGTACCTACATGAAAAATGTGTGGACAAAGTATTCGAAATTGATCGATTGAATTACTTGGAAAAAATAGGCAACCGCTTCCAAGGTAAACCTTTGAAATAAGTAGCTCTTTTTTTTTTTATTTTTTAAATGCAATCTACAATCTGTACCATTTTGGCACAATAAGTAGATGTGAAACAGATTAGTTATATACAAATTATTAAAAAAAATACATCATATATATAATATATCCTTAATAACATTTATACATAATAAGAGAATTTTTGAGGAAAGCAGCCACCCATTAGTAACATTATCATTAGCTATTTTATTTATTTTTTTAATTTTTATTTTCAGTTTTTTTTTTCATTAATATTAAAATGCCAAAAGATCACGACACCATTTCCGTTTTAAACGTCTCGGAGGGTTGCCAGGAATTGTAGGATTAGCAAGGTTTCTGACAAGAGGATTGGAATGAGTTAAAGTGCGAAAATGGAAACGTTTATAGTATGCTTTAGCTTCTTCTGAAACTGAAGGCATTTTAAGGTCTGTATGTATAGAGTAGTTAGAGACATAAGAAGGGGCATTTAATAATTTGCGAAGTGCGATGTTTTGAAATGTTTGGATTTTAGTAATGTTAGTTTTTTTTTGCGTTTCCCCAAAACTGTAGACCATATGTCCAAGCAGGCTTTAGTAGTGATTTATAAATAAGTAATTTGGTATTGATGTGAGTATATTTATTATTGTTGATGAAGTTTTTTAGTAGGCGTAGACGTTGGTTTAGATTATTTTTTTTGGATTTAATATGGTGGGCCCAGGTCAGTCTTTTATCAAGGGTCAAGCCAAGATATTTAACATTCAAAGCACTGGTAATTGGAGTGTTATAAATAAAGACATCAGGGCAAGGGGTGAGTTTATGGTTGAACGTCACATGAACCGATTTGGTTTGGTTTATTTTAACTCTCCAGTCGGTGTACCACTTTTCCATGAGATCAAGGTGAGATTGGAAATTTTGAGAAGCTACGACAGGATCAGAGTGTATAGATAATATTGCTCTATCATCTGCATAGTCGGTAGTTATTGTATTTAGGTATCGTTGGTTGGTCTGAGGCAAAAATATTGTAAAGGGTAGGGGAAAGGATACCACCTTGTGGAACACCCACTGATATATTGACTATGGAAGAAAATTCATCACCGACACGAACTTGAAAGTGACAATCGAAGAGATACGACTTAATAATAGCGAAGTATGTAGGATGAATAAACTTTTTTAATTTATAAAGGAGGCCATCATGCCATACCCTATCAAAGGCCTAAGAGATAACCAAAAATGCGCTTGTACAGTATAGTTTTTTTCTCTAGTGAGTATGAAATGGCGTCTACAACTCTGTGAATCTGTTGGACAGTAGAGTGAAAAGAGCGAAAACCGAATTGTGAATTAGGAAGGATAGATTTTTCAGTAATACATGGGAGAATACGTTTTAGTATAAGTTTCTCCAAAATTTTAGCGAAAAAGGGAGTAAACTTATAGGTCGAAAAGAGGTTATTGAGTCAGGTGGCTTATTGGGCTTGGGCACTAGGATGATAGTAGAAAATTTCCACAGCATGGGAAAGTATGATAATCTAATAATGGAATTAAAAATATGTGAAAGATGAATAAAGGCTTTTTTAGGTAAACACCTAGCTACTTTGGCAATTATCATATCAAAACCTAGAGATTTCTTAAGGGAACATTTATTTATGGCAAATTTAATATCATTAGGTGTGAAATGTTTGATAGGATTGGATGGCAAGTAAGGTGAGGCGTTAAGAAAATCTTTCACAGCACTAATATTGGTTTGAGAGAAAATATCAGGGTGAGGTTGAAAAATACCAAATAGATGTACTTTAAAAAGTTAGCTTTATCAGAGTCTGAGATGACATAATTACCGTCCGGATTTTTTAATTGGTAAATTAGAGGTTTTGAATTTACAAATATTTTTAGTCGCTCTCCAAAGACTGCCATCTTTTGGTGAAAGTTTGAAAAGGAAATTAGTGAAGGTCTCAGATTAATGTTTTGTCAGCACTTTTTTAAGGTGATTTGTTAATCTATCGTATTTGTGCTTATGAGAAGGAAGACGAGTTCGTTAAAAGTTAGCTCTAGCTCTACGTTTTTCTACTATTATACAACGAATGTATTCTGGAAGAAGAGGGTTATGAAATTAAGTTTGAGATTTTTAGGTAGAATACCATGCTGCAGATTGAATAAGTTGTGTAAAATTATTTACAACAACATCGATATCATTAGTTGATTTTAATTTTACATTTAAATTTATTTGTTGGTTAACAAGATCATGAAATTTGTTTTTATCGGTAGAGGGCTTAAATAATTAAGGAGATTCAAGACGTGTCAGAGGAGAAGCACTTATAGTTAACAAGATTGAGGAGTGGTCAGAATTTAAATCATGGAGATTTTCGGTGTTGCAATTTAAGTTACTAGGTATCTTGGTAACAAAGATATCTAAGATATCGGGGTTTTTGCGTGCTGAAGACGGCCAAGAAGCCTGGAGGATCAAGAATTTTGTAATTTTTAGTTGATATGAAATTTTGGAAAATTATTCCCCGTGGATTATTAACACGACATCCACAGGCTAGGTGTTTCGCATTATAGTCACCTCCAGCTATAAAATTGTTGTTAATTGAGTTAAAGTAGTCTGTAAAAATTTGATTAGTAATTTTGTGTTTAGGAGGAGAGTGGACCGCTGCTATAGTGACGGAAACATTATTAATTTTTGTAATTAAAGCACAGGACTGTAGATATTCTTGGCAAAAATTTGGAAATGGTTGATAGACGATTGAGGATTAAATTATAATGGCAACTCCACCATGCGCCGTGTTATCAGGGTGATTTGTATTTAATACTTTGTAACCAGGAATGTTAATGTGTGAATATTTGGTGAAATGAGTTTCGGTTATAAGAGCAATGTCTATGCGTTTATTGTATAATACAGTTTCAAGAACGTTAATATGATTTTTTAGGCCATTTGCATTGAATTGAAGGATAAGGATAGATTTGTTAGTAATATTATTAGTAGACATTTATATTTTATCAAGTAATTTTGAGATTAATTTATTGAGAAGAGTGATAAGAGGTTTAATAAGGGATTTGAACTCACCAAGGAAATTTTTGAGCTCAGATGTGGAGTTAGGATCTGTATTGGTAGATTCACCAGAAATGGCTTGAACGTAAGTTGGTACGTGGTTAAAGGGTTGATTTATTGAAGTTTTAGTTAATGGGCGGCTGTCTTTAACAGTTGTATTCTGATTTCTAATATTATCTGATAAAAAGTTACTGTTGATGGTAGGTTTCCTGCCGCGTTGAAGCTCCCTGTATACTGAGCATCCCTTGTAGCTGGCAGGATGATCTCCGGAACATAGTGCGCATTTTGGTGAATCATCGCGTGAATTTGGACATGTGGCGGACTGATGATGAGCCCCACACTGAAAACAGCGTGAGGGGTAGCCACAATAAGTTTTGGTGTGACCATATTCTTGACAATTATTGCACTGACTGATCGATTTTAGCTTGTATGGCTCTTCAATTTTAACTTTGGTATGTAATAGCGACGAAAGTTGAAATATTTCACTTGACCTAGGGGTTGGTTCTAAATCAACAAAGAAAAGAGGTAATTGTATTTTGGTGTCTTTATGGAGAACATTTGTTACGCGTCTGACTTCGAAAAGGCGAACTTCCAGTTCTTTATTAATTCATTTGGTCTGTGTTGTAGGATGTAGATTTCGAATAACAACGCGGATCGGTTTGTCTTCCTTAAGCTGATAAGTATGGAATTCAGCGTTTTGTTCTTTTAAATATCGAACAAGAGTTCTATATGAATCCGGATTGGCAGTTTGAATTTTTAACCGATCTGCAGAGGATTTACAGAAAAAATTGTCCATACCGATAAGGTCCAGTGGCGGATTTAACGGGAAAAAAATGGACATTTGCCGCCTGGGCCCCTATCCGAAAAGGCCCCCGGACCCACTGTCCTAAACCCCAGTCCTCAGTCTTCACTTATTTTCATTTCATCAAAAATTTTCAAATATAATTAGTAATTTTTGAAGTTTTTGAAGTTTTGAACACACACATCAAGTAATAATTGGGATAATATAATAATAATAATCAATTAATAATGATAATATTATGTAATATATTCGTACTCATACGTATTGCCTATGTACAGTCAACTACATACACCGGCATCATTATAACTATTTTTATTTATATTGTTTCGAGGGTATTTACGACGTTATCGCGGCGTCGCGTCGTGCGTCGTATTACAGCGTTGACTTGTGTAATAACACGTCTATTTTTATTTCGGAAAAATTTCTTAGTATTTAATATGGTTGTAATTTATGTTATCGTATAAGCATTCCGCATTTGATTAAGAACATCGGTCGATTAACAAATAAAGCAGATTGATTTAAATCATAAGGTAAGAATATATTAACTGTTAAGGGGCCTCACTACTGTCATCAATTTGAGCTCAAAATAGGTAGTTTTTACAAAATTAAAGTTAGTTTAAGATGTCCGATTTTGATTCTGAAAAAAAATCTAAACTCAGCAGAAAATTGTGTATAGATCGTACGGAATACTTTGTAAAAATTAAATCTTATATTCTAATGAAGTGGTAATAGAAACTTGAAAATATGCATTTCTTCAAATCATAATATAAAATTTAAAATTATAATTAAAACCAGAATGTTTTGTACGATCTATAGACATTTTTCTGCTGAATATAAATATTTTTTCAGAATTAAGATCAGACAACGCTAACTAACTTAAATTTTGTCAAATCAATGAGTAAGTTATCGTAAAATTTGTATAGTGAATTTTTATTATTATTGGGTTAATGACATTTGCATGCGCGTACTCCAGTCGGTACCCGCATCGTATTTCACTTACATTTATAATCATTTACAACTAACACATAGACCTCAGGCGGCTAAGACGAGATTATGAATTGCCTAAATGTTGTTCTTTAAATAATAACCGTAGCGAGGCCCCTTAAAACATTTATATAATTTTAACTTTTTAAAGAATTTAATATTAATACATAGACACATAGTAATTAAGTCAATAATTTTTATCTTTAAAAATTAACAACATATGGTCAAATTAATTTCTTTTAATATTATTTTATAATTTTGTCTGTTGTTGCTAGAATGGCTAGACTCATATAATTATATAAAGTAAAAACATATAGAGATCTCGGCGATCGCCGGCCAATCGGTGTGATGGTCTTGATACACATAATAATTAGAACCGACATCCGACAAATATACATAATATTATGCCCTAAAAGTCTATTAATTACGTATGCAGTTATACCCTAAAAATTATTAAAATATCCTCTTTTTTAAAAAAAAAAACTTTAATTAGTTCTAACCCTTTCGCTACCATTGTCCATTGCAATGGACATGACTTTATTTTATTTTCTATAATTTACTATGTATACAAACTAATCATATTACGCATATATATTTATCTAATACTAGTATAAATCAAAATAAAAATATTTTTAGACTTCTAACTAATATAGTTTTTTGTGAAGAAATGAAAATACAAAAAAAAATTTTGTATACTGTTGTGTTATCAACAACTGAAATATATTTTAACTTATTCACTGAAATATAAGTGTTGGTAACACTGAATATTTTTTTCTTGGTAAAAGGTATCTGGAATGATAAAATTTTGTTGATTAAGCATACCTTAGTATCATACACTACAAGTAATACATGATAAAAAGTATGTCCATTGAAATGGACAGTGGGAATATCGGGTAAAATTTCAATTCTAATTTTATAACTGTTTGGGTTTTTTTTCTAGAATTGAGTTTTGTGGTATTGTTATCAATATCGTATGACGTAATAATGGTAATAATATAAAAACAATTATATTGTGTTTAGTTGATATTCTGTATCAGTACCGTCTGTATTCGCTCGCACGTCACGGTTTTTTATTATTATTTCAAGTTTTTATATAATATGGCGTTAAACGAAAAACAAATTTTGAGCTTTTTGGATGACGGAACAATTAGTGATATAGATATATTGAATAGTGAGTCAGAGAATGAACTTGAAGATTTATTAAATAAATTTGCGAATGATGATTTCTCTTCCGAACTCGATAATGAAATGCTGGCTAATACAGAATTAGACTTGCACGAAGAAGACGACCAAACAACAAATGAAACTCAGTCTGGGAATGAAGTCTTTGATATATCACCAATGCAGTTTCTATTTGTCAAAAAAAAAGATATAAAATGGATAAATAAACCATTTCAAGAGCCGTATATAAATCTTACAGATTTAGAACCAATAGATTGTCCCTCCACAATACCACAACCATACGAATATTTCACTAAATATTTTGACCAAAAAATATTCGAAGACTTGTCATTTTATACAAATTTATACGCAGTTCAAAATAATGATTTTTCTTTTAAACCTACGTCACCATTAGAAATAAGATCTTTTATTGCAATTCAAATGATGATGGGTGTTTTGAAGTACCCTAGGATCAGGATGTACTGGGATCAAAAATTTCGCGTAAATATAATTGCCGATACAATGCCCAGAAATAGATTTTATTCTATTCGACAAAATATTCATATCATCAACAATATGGATATAGCTCGTGATAATACCGATAAATTTGTAAAAATTCGTCCATTATTTGATGCGCTAAATAATCGATGTAAACAATTACCAGTGGAACGAAACATTAGTGTTGACGAACAAATAGTTCCTTTTAAAGGTCAATTAGTTATAAAACAATATATGAAAGGAAAACCGAATCCGTGGGGCATTAAAATATTTTTACTTTGTGGTCAAAGTGGCATTGTCTATAACAGTGGTTCTCAACCGCCGGTCCGCGATAAAAGAGATGCCGGTCCGTATTGTGTTGTTATCTGATTTATTTTTAGTGTAGCGTTAGGAATTTTATTAGTGTATTATATTACCCGTATACTATCGCAACAATTAGTTTCATATCTACATTATTGATTCAGCTTTCAATTGCAACTGTGACGTTGCGGCTGTACGACGTTATTTTGTTTAATAAAAATGAATTTTAAACAAACAAACTTACTAAATTTTTACAAAAAAAATAATAATGATATTGCCACCAATTCAGTTTCGGAATCCGTTGATAATATCATTGCATCACCATCTAAGAAGAAGAAAAAAGGTACATTTGTTCGTAATTATAATGATGATTATATTAAGTATGGATTTATTTGTTTTTCTTCTGATTCTAACGACATACCGAAACCGCAATGCGTATTGTGTTCTGTGATTTTATCTAATGAAGCAATGAAACCTGCTAAACTTATTCGTCACTTGGAATCAAAGCATAAAGAATTTAATAACAAACCTATAGATTTTTTTATTCGAAAAGGTAAAGAGTTAACGGCTCAAAAAAAAGTTATGTCTGCAACTTCTAAGGTTGATTACTCATTAGTTAAAGCATCTTATCTGGTAGCATTTCATATAGCCAAATGCAAAAAATCGTATAATATCGGGGAAAATTTAATTAAACCTTGTTTACTTGATGTTACTAGTGAACTTTTAGGGCCTTCCGCTGCTAAAAAAATGAATGATTTACCTTTGTTTAATGACACGATTTCTAGAAGAATAATTGATATTTCTGTAGATATCGAAGAACAAGTTATAGATAAAATTAAATTATCGAAATGGTTTTCAATACAACTTGACGAATCAACTGATGTATCTCAAAAAGCAATTTTGCTATGTTACGTACGTTTTATTGATTTTCAAACATCAGAAATGTGTGAAGATTTATTGTGTTGTTGTGAATTACCTTCACATACTACAGGGAGTGAAGTATTTAAACGATTAAATGAGTATCTAAAAAAAAACCAACTAAACTGGGAAAATTGTGTGTCTGTGTGCACGGATGATGCCGCAAGTATGACCGGAAAATATTCTGGTGTAGTTTCCAGAATTAAAAATGTAGCAAACATACATTTTGTTCATATACATTGTATTATACATAAACAACATTTAGTTGCGAAAAAAATGTCACCTGTTTTGAATGAAGTATTGACTGAGGCAGTAAAAATAATTAATTTTATTAAATGTAATGCCTTAAATTCTAGATTATTTTTAATTTTATGTGAGGAGGAAATGGGATCTGAAAATTCTCATTTATTGATGCACGCAGAGGTTCGGTGATTATTCCGTGGTAGAGTCCTGAATAGATTTGTTGAATTAAGAAAAGAAATTGAATTATTTTTAATTCAAAAGAAAAGTAATTACATTTCAATTATTCAAAATACTGAATGGATCGCAAAATGTATTTATTTATCTGATATTTTTAACTTAATAAATACCTTTAATTTAAGTTTACAAGGTCCACTCACAACAATTTTCACCATGTTAAATAAAGTTTATGCATTTAAAAAAAAAATACAGTTGTGGATAACGCTTATTCAAGAAAGAAACTATGAGATGTTTGAATCTTTTTCATCATTTATAGAAACTAATGAGTTAAAGATCGATAGTAATATCAAAATTACTATCGAAAATCATTTGCAATCATTGTATGATACGTTTGAAGATTATTATCCAGTGAATCAAGATCCATGAGACGGATATTTGTGGGTACAAAATCCATTTTTAACAAACTCTCAACATAAATTGTGTTTAAAAGAACAAGAACTTTTGTTAGAGATATCATCAGATATTGGTCTACAATCTAAATTTAATACAATGTCTGTAACCAAATTTTGGATTGAACTCAAGGACGAGTATTACGTGCTTTTCGAAAAAGCAATGAAAATTCTTCTTCCATTTTCTTCGACATATCTATGTGAAGCTGGATTTTCTGGAATGACCCATATAAAAACCAAAACTAGAAATAGGCTCGATGCCACACATAGTTTACGTGTATCTTTGACAACTACAGTGGAACCAAGATTTGATAAAATTGTTAAAACAAAACAAGCACAACGCTCTCATTAAAATGTAATATTTTATTTATAAATATATTGTTAAAAATTAACTAGAAAGTACTCATTAAAATGTAATTTTTGATTTATAAAAATATTATTAAGAATTAATTAAAAGTATAATACTTAAATCTTGCAATCAAAACTAGAAAAATTAGTTATAGTATAGTAATAAAATGTAACATAAATTAATAAATTAACACATGTTGTAATTAATTTTGTGTATTCTTGTTGATGAACAAAAAAAAAAAAAGTCTTCCTAGTTCCTAGTTTTTGTAAAATTGAGGTGGTTCGTGACCTAAAAAATATTATCGAAGTGGTCCGGGGTGGTAAAAATGTTGAGAAACACTGGTCTATAACATGATTCTTTATCAAGGAGTTTCAACTAATATTAACAAGGATTTACAAAAAAATTTCGGTCTAGGTGGAGCAGTTGTCCTCGGTCTTACTAAACATCTTACGCCAAATCGACATTTTCTTTTTTTTGACAACTTTTTTTCTTCGTATAATTTATTTTATGCACTCACCGCACGTCAAATATATGCAGCAGGCACAATTCGAAAATCGATTTTTTAATCCACCAGTTTTATCCGATAAAGTTATTATGAAAATGGGGAGAGGAACCTCTTATGAAGTAACTTCAACATTAGGAGTTGGACTGTTGAAATGGTGCGACAATAAAGCAATAACCATGGCATCTAACTTCATTACTTCAGGAAAACCGGAATCTGTTTCTCGCTGGGACAAAAAAAATAAACAATATGTTAACATCGAAAGACCAGAAATTATCAAACTATATAATAAGTCCATGTGGACAAACACGATCAACTTGTGAGTTATTACCGCGTGTACATGAAATCTCGAAAATGGACTCTGCATATGATAACTCATGCTTTTGATATGGCTGTGGCAAATTCTAGGCTCGAATACAAACAGAACGCAGAAAATATGGGAATATTAAAAAAAGATCAAAAAGATTTGTTGCATTTCAAAATCACTTTGGCTGAAGAGCTAGTGATGGTTGGACGATTCAGTCCCGGAAAAAAAAGGGGTCGTCCTACATCTTCACCATCCAGTAGTACAAGATCTGCAGAATGTCGTTCACCAACACCTGCCAAAACATCGTCAAAAGCATTGGAGTTTCGACCAACGGAAGG